CAGCACAGAGGGTTCCCGCTACAGCGTCTCGCCCCACATGGGGGCTCCCTACTCACTCCGCATCCATCGACTGCCTCCGCGAGTCTCCGACACGCTCGTTGCTCATGCGCTGAAGGAATACGTTGACAAAGTTGTGAAGATTACAAGAGAGAAGGTCGACTACAAACGCCGCAAGCCACGAGTTGTTCGGAACGTTCTTGTCGAGATGAATTGGTTCCAACTCTGCAAACTGCCTCATCGGATTGAAATCCAAACTCATGAAGGGCTGATAACCCTGCGAGACCGAGAATCCATGTGCCTCTACTGCAAGCACATCGGGCACATCAGACGACAATGCCCTTACGAGAGGGATAGGGGCCCATACCTGATCCCCATCGAAAGTCCAGAACACCCCAATACTATCATCTACGTCACAAAAGATTCTCCTCTTGCAAGACGTGCAGCCAAAACTTACAAAGTGGGAGCCAGATCATCATCGTCCAATGGAGCCAAGAAACCAAGAAGCAAACCCCAAGCTCCAGCATCCATCGAGCCAACTGTGGATGACAAGGTACCAAAAGAATCTGCTCCAAATGTGGGAAAGGTCAACAGGCTGCTAAGAGCTAAGGATAACCCTTTCTCAGTGTGGCCTCTGTTTGGTGCCTTCATCGAACCAAGGCGCAGGCATAGGATCGATTTGCGCTGGTCCCTGCCTCGACAATTTGCGCTGAGTTTGTAAAAACTGTTTCATCCACATGTGATGGCCGTTTTCTGTTTACATCAACTCTGATAATGATACAATATTGATATGCAATTGTATCTGATTCTGCGAAAGTCATTTTTTATTTGTTTTCACATTTTTCTTTTCTCGCCACTTTCATGTGATGCTACATCAATCTGTCCAAAACGTCGGACTTGAAATGAACAAGAATCCAAGATGGACCTAAACTGTTGAGTTGTTAATTTGTTTTATCATTTCACAATTTTATTGGACATTTTATTTGTATGTTTTTATGTACAAAACAGGCTTGTTGAAATCTGATTTTACAATTAAGGGTCAACTTTACTCTTGTTCTGTTTGAACCAAGCTTATATTTGAAATAAATACTGAATTACAAGTTAAAAGTGTTGATAATTTGTATTAAATTACCCAAGGAGCCATTGAGTCATCCTATGGCATCACATCTTGGTCAGGGTACAAGACAGAATCCCTAGGTTCTTGGATCGGAACATTTGCACAAGTAGACAATGCTCAACCATGGTAATGGAGGATCATTGTCTGACCTGGTCAACTCTTATGCCCTCAAGGTGTGCTCATAATGTCAACACCTGGTTTATCTCGACCCTGATACCATTATTTACAGGATGTGGTCATGATATAGCTTAATATAGCAAACAGTAACTTGCTTTGCAAGGAGACATGTTTAAGCTATGAAAGACTATCTTTTATCGTTTTATGACAAGATATTATTTGGTTTGCAACATTCCAAGATCTTTTCATGTCCACTTTCAAGGCAGGATCCAAATGCTTGTCATCTCACTATCCCCAGTTTACTGTTGTGAAATAACTATTCAAGTGACATGTCATGAGTCAAGTGATGTATTCCCCCCGGTCTGGCGCAATTCAAAATTGTTTGGCTGCATATACCCCAATTTTGTTTAAATGCCATTGGATACCAAAATTTAAGAGTTGAAATATACCCTAACACCTCTTAGATTAAAAAGCCGTGAACATTCCGTTTAGAATTGGTCTTCGGTAACCCATGCTTGTTGGAAAAGGCGACAAATGGGATGGGGTGGTCAGGTTAACTGACTTGGTTGACATGTCATCATATCCCAATAGCATAGACAGATGCTCGTGCTGTTGATCACTGGATTGTCTGGTCCAGACTAAATTATTTACAGCTTGCTGCCATATAACTGCAATATTGCTGAGAGCGCGGTGTGTACAAGTGTATGCCTCAAAACGCCTGAATCTTGACACATAACAAATAATTTCAATTGACATACTCTCAACTTGTCAAAGTTCTGCTTCCTCAGTCCAGCAATTTTACAGATGTTTACTGAGAAAATTAGTTTTTGAAATTTGAACAGTAACTACTGTGGTAGCCATATTGCCATATTGCCATACTGCGCTGGCCCCCAACCCACCCAACCCCGTGCACCTAACTTCAGCTGTACAAAGATCTGAATTAGAACTGGTCTTCAAAAACCCATGCTCACATGTCATGTGACTAATGGGATTGTGTGATCTGGCTTGTTGACTTGGTTCATGCATGTCATCATATCCCAATTGTAGAGATCGACGCACATGTCCTTCACAAGTTGTCTGGTACAAACTTGAATATTTACAGACTGCCATCGTCAGTTTGGTACATCTGGCATTAAAAAAACCAACACTCCCAAGATTTTAGGGGTGAAATGGTTCTCTCTTACCACCGTACAGTACATATTGTAGAACAAGGCTTTTGGTTTCGGTTCGGTATATGAGATATGATCATAATGCAGAAAATTGACTAGAGCCAAACCTTACATTGTTTAATAACATGGAAAAAAATAACCAAAATCTTTGTTAATTTGAATAAACAAAAGTGTCATTTTATGACTTAATAGAAATGATGGTACAAAACCGAAAATAACACACATTTTGGGATTGCATTATGGTATACCACAGGTTAAATACGCATAGAAAATTTCAAATTACGCATTGAAACAATAATTGTTGCGTACCAATTACGCATTTAAAATGTTAGATACGCAAAAAGTTTAAAACAAATGCCTACGGAATATATTTATAAAAATCGCTTGCGTAATGAAAAAGACATCGATTGCTATCAAGTTGTACTGTTAGTATAGGATGAGTGATTTTTTATGAAATCATTTCCATTATATTTAAGTTGGTTTTGATTAGGTATGACATAAGGCAGAACATACCTGCTTAGTAAACTTACTCAATGACATATACTTAGGTGAGTAAAATGACTGAAATACGCACATATTTGAAAGCAGTGAGTAACGGAAAATGAAATACCCACTCAACATTCATAATACCCACTCAACATTCATAATACCCACTCAACATTCATAATACCCACTCCAAAAAAATACAGTGGGTACAGTACGCACATGAGCTAAATCTTATCTAGAGCTCTGTACCAAACCGAAGACAAAATACTGTGGTATACTATCTTTCTACCACCCACAAGATTGGATCTGCATGCTTTCAAACTAAAACTCATCTGTTCAAATCTTTTCCATGGACATAGACAACATCTTTTGGAAATAGGCTTATAAATCAATTATTATTATTTGTAAGACCTTTTCACTGTTGGAGCATATTAGCACCTGGACTGACAACTGTTTATTGTTGACAACACTGTATATACAGTTGAGCTTCTAACAAAGTACTTAATCTGTACAACTTCAGACATGCATAGGACTGGTGAAATGTTGATAGCACTGACAGACCTCAGCAAGGCAGTGAACAGGTAACAAGCATACAAAACACTGATCGCATTGGCTTCAATCCTTTGAATCAGAGCCACGACTGTCAAACTCGTGTCATAGACTGTCTAAACCAGCACAAATTGTTTGGTTAAGTTGTAGTCTTCTAACCACTTTGCAATTGATTATTTAAAACCTGAGAGAAAACTGTTTACTGACATTATTTTTCCAAAATCTTCAAACAATATCCTTTGATCATACACTCATTTTCTTCGACTGCAGTAAGAAATCCACACACAAAAATTAATAGGTGACAAAACATATAGTATATATATAGAGAAAGAAGTAGAAGAAATGTTATCGTGTTTGATGTGAAACAAATGTGAAATGTGTTATTTTCTAAAAAAATGAAACATCTCTTATCTTCCATCAAAACCCTGTAAGGGTCAAACAATATATACAATCTTAAATAAAATAGTACCTATTAACAGCAAACCATTCAGGTTCTTATGAACAAACTGTACTTTCATATCTTTACCATAATAATATACTCCTAAATGTAACCATGGCAACATTCTAAACAAATGAAATGAAACAATGTTAGCACAGATTGCATGTAAGGGTGTTAGTCTGAGACAGACTAGAATCACAGAAATTGTATTGCACGTGTCAGTACATAATGGAACATCTATCTACACCAATACTCTACAGTGTACAACAGAATTCTTTCAACAGTAGTCTCCCTTTGTTGTGCAAATTTGGTCAAGGAGATCTATTGACGTTACAGTGAGTGAGATGGGTGTAAAACCAGTTTGAACAGTATTTCAGTAATATGAGTTAATGAGATGGTGTAAAACCAGTTTGAACCATGTAGTATTTCAGTAATATCACTAGTGAAATACTTGTGTGAAATCCTTCAATGACAGGAAACCAATGTGAAACCCACTTGTGCGGAAATCCTTCAATGACAGGAAACCAATGTGAAATCCACTTGTGCGGAAATCCTTCAATGACAGGAAACCAATGTGAAACCCACTTGTGCGGAAATCCTTCAATGACAGGAAACCAATGTGAAACCCACTTGTGCTGATGGCCCAGGAATCATAATCTGGGATTCGAACTCCCAATCATCAGATCCTAGTATGACAAAGGGACATAACTCTACACAGTAAAATGCTGTGCCACCTTCAACATCAAACACTCTGGCTGATGTCACAACACTCTGCTACATTAGCCGAAAGTCTGGATGCCATTTCTAGTAAAATTTCTTTGATCTGGAAAGATCAGGCCCCGATTTCTCGAAACAAACTTAAGTTTTTACTCAAATTTCAAACTGAGTTTGACAATTTGAAACAGCTGAAATTTTAACAAGACTGCATTTTTTTAATTAAAAAATCCCAAACAACTTAAGTAATCTACCCACCAAACTCAAATTGTCTACTAAGTTTGAGTTTAATATTGATTTCAGTTTATTCTGGAAAATGCATTTTCCTGTGTTTTCTCAAAGTTGAGTAAAAACTCTGACTTAAGTCAAAACTCAGACTTAAGTTTGTTTCGAGAAATCGGGGCCTGGTCTTACTCATTAATATATTATCAAAAGCAAGTCAGACCTAGAGTAGGAGACGTTCTGTTACAATGTTATTATTCCTTTAAATCACTGCATCAAAAACCAGTTTAGTTTCTTTAGATCAAAAGAAATAATTACTTCAATAATTCTCGAAACTAGTCCATAATAGTATCGTATCAGTCTGGCCTGAATTTTACACTCCGGGAAAGAATTCTGTTGCACAATATTGTACATTTAACAGGTATATATGGAACCTCAGAAGTATCTACTCGCAACAACGTACCTGTAATTGTTCCAACTCGTCATATCAAGGAATTGAATATAAGATTCTTCAACAACCTGGTAGTAAAGGTGCAATATAAATAATACTTAATATTCATGGTAATAGTTACCATAGAAACACAATACTTCACAAAGTGAAGTACAAGATGTGGGTAATAACTGGTCTGTGCCACAACATGCTACATCCTAACTCAATGCCAGCAGATCAGCCTCTAGAAAAAGCTTGCTAAAAATATCATAGTTTCTCAAACACAAACTTTTTTAAAAAAAGACTTTAGAATTACATAATTTTTGAAAACTCCATGCCCTTCATAGTGTTTCATATTGTGACACACTGAGCGGAGTCAGCCTGACCTTGGGTCTTCACTTCAAATTCAAAGTCCATAAAGGTGGTATATAAGTCAAGTTTAACTATATAGATTACACAAAATGCAAAGTATAGTTAAACCCTATCAACAAGGATTCTACCAAGACATTGAAGAATACTTGATTACAATTGGTGCTTTGTCCTAAATTTACAAAACAGGTATCCAATTCTGAAGGACTACCTCAAATTTTAAAAAAATGTTTGTATTTAACATGTATGTAGACACTCGAACCAGATAGCAGAGGTTTCCACACTAACAGGGTTCTACTTTACATGATGGATGTGTTGACATCTAACCAAGACAGCAACAGTATATTGCCTTATAATGATTTCTATTAAACCAGGGCAATAAAACCAGGGCAATATCCCTTTGGACCTCAACATGGGTGTTCGTGAACTGTTCAGGCCATACAGCTCTGGTTTTAGTGAGTGCATGTTTTTGGCTTAATGCCACTTGCAGTATTCCAATTATATGATGGCATGTCAGCTTGTTGTGGTTGAAAGCAAAATGTGACATACGTTTTAGATGTTTATTACTTTGGTGAAACCATCAACCAAGGTATGGAGCTGACAAACCCTGATATATATTCAGTTTGAACCATGATTCAAATCCACCCTAATAGGTTCCTGCATACACAAGGGAGACAACTCTGCATAACAAGCCTTCATCATCCCTACCCTAGTTCTGAATGTGAAAGAAGTCCAAATTGTGAGAAACAATTCATATTCTAAGTTCATATTAAAAATGGGAATGTGTAAATTCATAATACATGTATATGTACATCATAACATATATGGACACTCTGAAGTGCTAATTATCTTAAAAATGAGTAAAACATTATGAATATATGAAATTGGAATTATTGAAGTGTATGCTTCAACTGCTATTTTATAAAGAACAGTAAGAAATGAATGGCTATTCTGCCTGTGCTACAGTGACAAAAAGCATGTGAACCTTTGTCTTAAAACCAGGACTCCAGTTTTCGACATCTTTGGGTTGGTAATTCAGACTTTCTTCTCACTGAGGTTGTAATCTTTAACAGTGAAACCTTGTTACCTCACCACCTTGGACAGGATATATATTTAGTCATCATTGCTTGTAACAATGAGAAAGGTTTAACGTTGCTATAACGGGTATTCCAGTTATATCTCGTTGTGTCAGTTTAATGTGGAAAGAACCAGATATAACCACTTTGGCGAAACTAACAACCACTGTTATTGTTCTGACAAATGTAGGCAGAGACTCTGGGCAAAACAGGATATGAACCCACAAGCATGGGATTCTGGGATACCCAGTGATGCAGTGCCTCAGACGACTTAGCCAGCCCTGCCCTCAATCAACAAGGAGAAACTCATTACACAACAGATTTGGATTTGACTGGGACCATCAAGAGAAATGGTGAAACTACATGTCAACTAAATTGATTTTACGAGTTTCACTGCACCTTCAGAGTGAACTCATGAGTTAGTGAGTGAGTTTAGTTTTACGCGCACTCAGCAATATTCCAGCTATATGGCGGCGGTCTGTAAATAATCGAGTCTGGACCAGACAATCCAGTGATCAACAGCATGAGCATCGATCTGCGCAATTGGGAACCGATGGTGAACTCATGAGTGAGTGAGGGATATGGGTTTAATGCTGCTTTTGGTTTATCAGCTGTTCACCAATTTGGGGAATCCTTGTAACACTGGTACAGTGCTGACTAAACCATGAAACACAACCAGGGTAACTCTGGGATTCAAACTCATGATCGCAAGTTTTCTCAATGCTTAATATACACAACAGCACTGCGCCCTGCACCTTAATCAACAGGGTCCAACGAGCACTTGTATTCTTAAGAATGAGTTAACAAAGATTTCACTGTTTAACCTGTCAAGTTGCCTAAATCGGAGTAGGTTATCACACCTGAAGTAAATGTCCAATGGTAGCCCTGGTGTACTACACAACTACTCAGCACCACAGTGCCTGCAGGATATAACAGCTACGACGGCCCTAGACGAGTGTGGCAAGTGGTCCCATGTCCGCACAGTGTGTCACTGTCTTCAGCAGCTGACGTCACGGAGGTCACTGTCTTCAGCAGCTGACGTCACGGAGGTCACTCAGGAAGCCTTCTGGGGTCAACACACTTGTCGCACCTGATAGTAAAGAAAAACGTTATTTTGTTTGTTTGCTTGTTGTTTAACACTGCACTCAGCAATATTCCAGCTATGTGGCAGCAGTCTGGAAATAATCAAATCTGGGTCAGAAAATCCAGTGATCAACAGCATGAGCACTGATCTACGCAATTGGGATACGATGACATGTGTCAACAATTTCAGTGAGCCTTACACCATCCCATTGGTTGCCTCTTATGACAAGCATGGGCTGTTGAAGACCAACTCTAACCCGGATCGTTCAGGGGTCAGAAAGACGTTATTGAGTGGATCGGTGAATAATAGAGATGGAGGAAGGGTGGATGGCCTGAGAGCCAGTGGGTGGGTTAAATTGGTAGTATGCTGACATGATGGGTATGAACAAGTGAGGTGAGTTGAGGTGAAATTGGGTTTAACACCGTGTTTGAGATATTTCGCTCATATGACGACGTGCATGTGTGTGTATGTGTATGTGCGGCTGCTTGTACTAGCCCAGATTTAAGCTGGTTTTATAGTGCTAGCTCACTGAGATACCATGCCGCAGCGAAGCATGAATACCCCACTCAGACACATTATACTGACTCCGAGCCGACCAGTCCTTGTTGTACCCATTAATGCTGAGCGCCAGGCAGGGACCAACAAGTACCATATTTTAACGTCTTTTGGTATGACGCAGTCGGGGATCAAACCCGCGACCTTCCGCTCTCCGGGCAGATGCTCTAACCACTACACCACGGAGGCGGTCTTATGCACAAGTGAGTTTCCTAAGTCTGTTTGTTCAGATATGCCGCACTCGGCAATATTCCAGCGAGATGACAGTTATCAAGTCCGGACCAGACAATGCAGTGATGGTCACTATAAGCATTGATCTGGGATCCAACATTATGCATCAACCTAGTCAGAGAGCCTGACCACCCGATCCCATGTCACAGTCAATACTGTCCCATTTGTAAGAAAACCCAAACAAATCTGTTAACTCTCTGCGTAACTTACCTATGAGGACCTCCCAGTTCTTCACTGACTGCGTAACTTCATATGCACACCTCATCTCCGAGTACGTCATTCCCCCCATGATGAACACCATGAGTCGAGGTCCGCTCCGAGCACTTGACTGGCCCTTCTCTTTGTGCCAATGGCCATATCGTGCGCTTGGAACACTGGATGATAGAAGTCAGTGCAAAGTCTTTCACTTACAAATAAATATACTGCATGTGATTCCAAGACATTTGACTGACTAATGACTAAAAGAATTGGCCTCACCCACAAGTGGACTACTTTTGTAGGGTCATGTTACAGTAATGCATTAATGTAAATTGGCAGAATATCGTTCGTTCGTTCATTCCTTCGTTTGCTCCTTCGTTCGTTCCTTCGTTCGTTCCGTAGTGACCATACCCCTGAACGTATCCATGTCTGATATTTCACATATACTTTAAGACACACAGGATTTCTTGAGCAAAATGCACCACCACAACGCGAGATTGAGTGGCAAAGGCTTTGCGAAGAAGATTTTACATCAGCTTTTAACAAATTGGTATAAAAAATCATTACACTCTGACTAAATTTGTCATAAGTCAGCTCTTCATTTAAATCTCATCCTGAATACCACTGTAATCATTAAGGGCGTGTTTCAAAACTGTTTACAAGACAACTGACTATGAACATGGTAAGAATGGGACATTACCTTCGAGCAGACATGGCAGACCGGGACACCCCCCCGGACAGGAAGGTAAAGTGTTTCCCATCCAGCTTCTCGTCTATCGCATCCTGTAGCAACAGCAACAACAGTGTCAATACCTACTCCAGAAGCTCTCTTACCATCACATGGGTGCAGTGGGAACAGCTTCAAATGGTTGAGTTAAAAGGAGCACAGCTTTGGAAAGGAGTTCAGTGAGTGAGTATGGTTTTACGCCGTTTTTAGCAATATTCCAGCAATATCACGGCGGGGGACACCAGAAATGGGCTTCACACATTGTACCCATGTGGGGAATCGAACCCGGGTCCTTGGTGTGACGAGCGAACGCTTTAACCACTAGGCTACCCAACTGCCCGAAAGCAGTTCAGGAAAATGTGACTTTCTCTTTAACAAATATTACCCATTCTTGCTGGAGATGCCAACTAGTCAAATTATCCAAGATGCCACACATTTTGAACATGAAGGGAATCAAACCAGGGCCTTCAGCATGAACCACAAGGCTACCCCAACACCCTTCCTAACTACTGGAACTGTAACGATGCATCAAACTATCGATGAATTGCAATTGTTGAGTCTCCGATAGCAAATAATCCATGGTAGAAACGAAAAACTATCGATAGTATGTGTGACTATCGATAGTTTAGTAATTGACTTCCGTTGATAAATGTGCAACGCAAAATACAGGATGTTTGGGTGCAGACCTACAGCTTCTTTGAGTTTATGTTTTAAGTGTTCACTTGATCTGGCGTTCAAGTGTCTTGTCAGTTATTAACAGACACTGAAACTACTTCAACTTGTTTTTTTTTCATACAAACTAAACATTAATTTGGGAAATTACTTCAAATGAGACAACTCAAGGAGAAAAAAAACTATTGCAATGACATTGCAATAGTTGGTCGCAATAGTATGTTGCAATAGACTAAAATAGTTGACTAAATTAGAAGAGTTGTTTCCCCCTAAATAGTCACCCCAACTAACTACTAGTGGAACTAGTAACTAAGATTCCTGCAGTCAAGTTCAGGGTTTTAATGACACCAACATAGCCATGAATCATTTATCAAAATTGGAAAAATGTCAAAGCATCCTTGCTTTCATTGACTACTTTTATCTCCTACAATACTGCAGATCAAACTTGAATACTAGAAACTGATTCTAGCAAGTTTAGTACTTGGTTCCCTCTGGAAACATACATTTGCTATGTAACCATCAGCCTATATGCACTTGTACAAGTGAACCTTGGCTCTGGAACATTTGGCTGCCAGGCATCAAACCAGTATAGATCTGTTTGTGTGTGCCTACCTCTAAAATGTCCTTGAGGTACGGTGTCCACCGTGAAAGCTGGTACGAGTGTTCAGCTGTCCTTTCTTTCCGGTTGTAGGGTTGGTAAGGCTGGGCCTTGCGTCGTCCACCCTGCAACAGGAACTCTAGGTCATTACAATCTCACTCCTTAGACAGTTGTCATGGTGCCTAACTCATCACGTTGCTGGTGCCAGCTATAACCATTATGAAACGCAACTGTGTATAACAGTAATATTTGACATAAACATTTTGAGATATTATATACATAAAATATCAGACCGGCAGAACGAAGAAGTGTAAAGGGTTACTTCACCTTCCTGGTTTGACCTACATGAGTGAGTGAGTTGGATTAATGCCCCTTTGAACAGTATTCCAATCATGGCATGTCAGCTTGATGTGTGAGTGAGTGAGTGAGTGAGTGAGTGAGTGAGTGAGTGAGTGAGTGAGTGAGTGAGTGAGTGAGTGAGTGAGTGAGTGAGTGAGTGAGTGAGTGAGTGAGTGAGTGAGTGAGTGAGTGAGTGAGTGAGTGAGTGAGTGAGTGAGTGAGTGAGTGAGTGAGTGAGTGATGTAGATTATTTATTTTCTTGTCCTGGCAACTTGCTTTATATTTCAACTGAAATACATGTAACGAATTTAAGATAATGGTCCCCTTTAGTTTGTTATAACCATAGTTTGTTGTACAGATAAAGTTAAGATCGGATGGTCAGATTTTGTGACGTGGCCGAACGTGTGTAAGCATATCCAAAGGGCATATGTCGGTGATTATTATTTTTTCTTTTACAAATTTATCTATTCAACGCTCACATTTACAGGATGCCTTGATATACCATGAAAATTGCTGACTTCGACACGAAGCATTGCTCACTCACTCAACCGTAATATAACATCTGCAATGTTTCTCTATGATTTAATGTAACAAGCTTGCCTGATAATATTGACAATTGGGACTTTCAAATACAAGGTAATCAGTCTCATATATAATATTGTCAAACTTCAGGTGATAATCAATGCACTGATTAAGAATATATTCAACACTATTTTTTGTTTAGCAAGAAATACACATCTAGAATATTTTCAATAAATGTCATAACATGTAGAAACATGTTATGACAATAAATTAGCATGCCATATGAATAAATGTCGCCACCACGTCTATTTTCAGAAGAATGCTGAAATATCAAGAATGTACTCAGATTTAAAAGGGAAGGTTTAGGTCAAGTTCAAGGTTAGCATTCAGGGATGACCTTGACAGAGGAGGATTAATTCTGTATGTCAAGAAAAGTAAAAGCATTTAAAAGATACTGATGCGACTTCCCTCTTATGAATAAAGATATTGCAAATGAAGAAACAAATAAAGTAACCCACATCTGAAAAAGAAAACGAGAAAAATGTGCAGACAGAGAAATATGAAATGAAGTAAGAATTTCACAAATGTTTCAAAAAGAAATTACTACCTGTGTCAAGCCTTTTGTAGTCTCACCAAAGTTTATGTTTATATTATTTGTTTGTTGTTTAATGCCACACTCAGTACTATTCCAGCTGTATGGAAGTAGTCTATAAATATTCTAGTCCGGAGCAGTGATGTGGATACAGTGATTAACATCATGATCATGACTGACTGACTGAGTATGGTTTTACGCCGTTTTTAGCAATATTCCAGCAACATCACGGCGGAGGACACCAGAATGGGCTTCACAAATTGCCGTAAATTCTATTAAGGGACAGTAGCCTGAGTAGGCTCCGCAAATAATGCTAACACAGATCATTTACCCCGGTACAATTCCTGCATAAAGATGCGAACATTCGATAAAACGTCCCCATGATGTTGCGAAAGTTTGGTTTTACACCGCTTTCAGCAATATTCCAGCAACATCATGGCGGAGGACACCAGAAATGGGCTTCACAAATTGTACCCATGTACCCAATCGAACCCGGGCCTTCCGCGTGACGAGCGAACACGTTGTCAGGGCCGGAAATACTTGGTGATGGAACATATCTAGGACGTTGTCAGGGCCTGAAATACTTGGTGATGGAACATATCTAGGACATTGTCAGGGCCTGAAATACTTGGTGATGGAACATATCTAGGACGTTGTCAGGGCCTGAAATACTTGGTGATGGAATATATCTAGGACGTTGTCAGGGCCTGAAATACTTGGTGATGGAATATATCTAGGACGTTGTCAGGGCCTGAAATACTTGATGATGGAACATATCTAGGGACGTTGTCAGGGCCTGAAATACTTGATGATGGAACATATCTAGGGCGTTGTCAGGGCCTGAAATACTTGGTGATGGAACATATCTAGGACGTTGTCAGGGCCTGAAATACTTGGTGATGGAACATATCTAGGACGTTGTCAGGGCCTGAAATACTTGGTGATGGAACATATCTAGGACGTTGTCAGGGCCGGAAATACTTGATGATAGAACATATCTAGGACGTTGTCAGGGCCGGAAATACTTGATGATGGAACATATCTAGGACGTTGTCAGGGCCTGAAATACTTGGTGATGGAACATATCTAGGACGTTGTCAGGGCCTGAAAACGTGTTTAATTCTTAGAAAACTCACTTCACTTTCTGAAAAGTCATGACTGAATATTTCTTGAAGAATCTGGGAAGTTTATGTTACACTGGAACTGAATCATTTTCCACTGGATGTGAAATTTGCAAATGTAAATTGTGCAGTTTCTAAATAAAACAAAAAAACAACAGAGAACCAAATGTTTTTTCTTTATACTTATCTGCAACTACAACCTGAATAGGAAAATCTAAAAAATGACACTAACCAATTTTTTTTTCGATGATTGGTCGTTGGTATCGAACCAATGATCAATTGTGAGATTTCAACCAATTCCCAACACTACTGCCCACAGGAAAAGTTAAATTTTGGAACAATCAGAAAATCATAAATATTGTTAGCATGGCTACGACATCATCATGTTCAAATAACAAACATCAGCCGTGTTTCTGTCAGTTACATTTTGGGAACTCAGAATGTATAGAAGCAGAGAAAAAAGTGAGTGAGTGAGTATGGTTTTACGCTGCTTTTAGCAATATTCCAGCAATATCATGGAAGAGGACACCAGAAATGGGCTTCACATATTGTACCCACGTGGGGAATCGAACCCAGGTCTTCAGCTTGATGAGCGGACGCTTTAACCACCAGGATACCCCACCACCCCAGCTGAGAAATGAATGACAAGTAGTAAAATCCTCACACAAATCTGAAACTATTCCACCCTCTTTGCTTTATGAATGAGCTAGGGTCAAAGACTAGCTCATGCTCTTGTTTTGTAATATATATCAAAAATGTGTAGAAAATGGTTGAAATTACATAAACATCCCTGATAACGTTCATAACAATTTAAATTTTTAATTTATTTTTTTAAATACTGGTGATCCATTTGGCCACTTATTTTACTTTATTATTGAAAATCCAGTCTCAGTGAAACGTCATGAGAAGTATGTGCAGCAGAGTCTGGAGGGCACTCTCCCACTGGCAGTGAGTGAGTGAGTGAGTGAGTGAGTGAGTGAGTGAGTGAGTGAGTGAGTGAGTGAGTGAGTGAGTGAGTGAGTGAGTGAGTGAGTGAGTGAGTGAGTGAGTGAGTGAGTGAGTGAGTGAGTGAGCACGAGTGAGTGAGTGAGTGAGTGAGTGAGTGAGTTTAACATTGCTTTTCACAGCATTGAGACAAGATCATGTCAGCTTCACGTGAAAGAACAAATTGTGGCACATCATAGAGCTTCACATGCATTGTGCTAACAAACCAAGGGATGAGAGTGAATCTAGGTTCTCAACATATAGAATCAGCAAATCCTGGCAGAACTAAAGGACACAACCCTGCACTCTGTACTACTGTACCTTCTATTGTAAAATACAGAATAAGACACCCAACACCACAGTACTTCTTACATATTTGTATAATGAAGATACTCTATTTGTAATTAATATATCAAACTAAGACTTTCCTGCCCTTCATAAACTTCATGCAAAAAAATCACAGAAAAAGAAAGCGTGAAAAAAGAAATATTTGTTATAACACCGAGGTCAGGTCACATCCATGTGTTATAGTGAAGTGTGGAAAACAGTATTCGGTGGTGAAAGGGAGAGTTAAAGGACAACCATTGAATCAAGTGCAAATCCAAGCCCCCATGCAAACATTATGATAGTTTCAATATCCTACCCCACATGTACATTGCAGACTTCTCTGTCATCTCAAACATTATGATAGTTTCAATATCCTACCCCACATGTACATTGCAGACTTCTCTGTCATCTCAAACATTCAATGCATGAAGCAGTAAATCACTGACAAAAATATTCACTTTCTAATACTTTTCTATCAAAAGCTGAAATAATTTGAAAAATGTTGACAAATATAACATATGTTACATTTGACCACTTTCTAAGTGGCATTGTGTATTCATTATTGACATAACATTATTTTGATTTCTTCAGTGATTGTCGCGAATATTAATTGTTTATTACCATGATGTGCAGACAACTCATGCTACCGGTCCATGCAGTGCAACAATGCACAATCGTGCAAAACAACAAGACCAAACGGTCAGCAAATAGCAAAGATGAGTCTGAGGCTATGCCCTGTAGCAAGACAAATTATGCAGTTACCTTGAAGACACACTGTACTGTTACCATGACAACACGATAAACCCTGTTACCATGACAACATACAAAGAACCACAGGACTGCTGACTGTTTTTATCCACATGGTAAACATCTGTACCTAATATACAGCGATGTAGATATTATTTTTATCGAATATATTTCTGGTAATTCAACCATTCATGTCATTCATGAATAATTCAAATGGAGAACTTTGTTCTATGCATGTTAATTTGGAAAATTCCTTATATCATATTTCATTTTCTGCATGAATATTGAGTTTGTTTGGGTTTTTTAAGTTGTTTAACGCTGCACTCAGCAATATTCCAGATGTAAAGCTGTGGTCTGTAAATAATCAAGTCTAGATCAGACAATGCAGTGATCAACAGCATGAGCATCAATCTGTGCAACTGAGATACAATGATGCAGCAAACAAGTCAGTGAGCCTGACTACCCGGTGCCGTTAGCCGCCTCATGGGTTGATGAAGAGCGTTTCGAACTCAGATCTTCACAGATTAATTATTAAGCAGAAATTCAGAATTCCCAAACTTCAGAAATAAAAATTCACAGAGAATCTATTGGCCAAATAGATGGAAATAAGGAATATCACTATACCGAACTTTGGTCACCTCATACTCAGTGAAACCACATGTACAAAGACATAAGTTGGTAGACATACCAAAGTTCTGAAAACATGAAACATGAATGGTACTCCACATACCGAAACCTTCATACTATTGTTTATGTAGTGTATTACATATTTCCTCAACTCATTCATTATGAATAAATATCATAAATTGTACCAGGTAATCTAGCAAGGTTTTACAATATGACATATTTTGTCCTGAAAATTAAACATTTTATCATTAAACTTAAGACAGCTACCTTCCAAGTCACATGTATATGTGAAAATGTACTTAGTGTTTGTTAAATAGCGCAACTTTGTTTTAAAAGATTGTCACTTTCCATGCATCGGTTAATGTTTGGTGAATGAATTATCATTTCTTAAATTTTAACAATAGTTCTTAAATCGGAGAAGGGTAATATCTATAGTATTTAGTTTGTTGAAAATATACATTAATTATAAGAAAAGCAAAAACCAGTGTTTTAATAATATCCAGCTTTAAGGACTTAATCACAATGTTTAATCCTGAAGAGATAACTCATTAGTCCTTAATCCTCATGAATACTGAATTAGCCTATTATCCTCATAATCAACATACGATTTGTTTTACATGATTTTACATTTGTAATACATAATAGTTAATTCTTAATACATAACTCTCAGTCCTTAATCCTAATACATAACTGTCGACCATCAACCACATAACTTCTTGAAATTAATCCAAACACATAACTGTCCGTCCTTAAACCTAATAATTTACTGTCAGTTCTGAATCCTAATATGTAACTTCAACCTTCAATCCTGATACATAACTGTCCGTCCTTAATCCTAATACATAACTGTCAACCCTTATTCTTAACACATAACTGCTAGACTTAATCCTAATACATAACTGTCAACCCTCATTCTTAACACATAACTGCTAGACTTAATCCTAATACATAACTGTCAACCCTTATTCTTAACACATAACTGCTAGACTTAATCCTAATACATAACTGTCAACCCTCATTCTTAACACATAACTGCTAGACTTAATCCTAATACATAACTGTCAACCCTCATTCTTAACACATAACTGCTAGACTTAATCCTAATACATAACTGTCAACCCTCAATCTTAACACATAACTGCTAGACATTAATCCTAATACATAACTGTCAACCCTCATTCTTAACACATAACTGCTAGACTTAATCCTAATACATAACTGTCAACCCTCAATCTTAACACATGACTGCTAGACATTAATCCTAATACATAACTGTCAACCCTCATTCTTAACACATAACTGCTAGACATTAATCCTAATACATAACTGTCAACCCTTATTCTTAACACATAACTGCTAGACTTAATCCTAATACATAACTGTCAACCCTCATTCTTAACACATAACTGCTAGACTTAATCCTAATACATAACTGTCAACCCTTATTCTTAACACATAACTGCTAGACTTAATCCTAATACATAACTGTCAACCCTCATTCTTAACACATAACTGCTAGACTTAATCCTAATACATAACTGTCAACCCTCATTCTTAACACATAACTGCTAGACTTAATCCTAATACATAACTGTCAACCCTCAATCTTAACACATAACTGCTAGACATTAATCCTAATACATAACTGTCAACCCTCATTCTTAACACATAACTGCTAGACTTAATCCTAATACATAACTGTCAACCCTCAATCTTAACACATGACTGCTAGACATTAATCCTAATACATAACTGTCAACCCTCATTCTTAACACATAACTGCTAGACATTAATCCTAATACATAACTGTCAACCCTTATTCTTAACACATAACTGCTAGACTTAATCCTAATACATAACTGTCAACCCTCAATCTTAACACATAACTGCTAGACATTAATCCTAATACATAACTGTCAACCCTCATTCTTAACACATAACTGCTAGACTTAATCCTAATACATAACTGTCAACCCTCAATCTTAACACATAACTGCTAGACATTAATCCTAATACATAACTGTCAACCCTCATTCTTAACACATAACTGCTAGACATTAATCCTAATACATAACTGTCAACCCTTATTCTTAACACATAACTGCTAGACTTAATCCTAATACATAACTGTCAACCCTTATTCTTAACACATAACTGCTAGACTTAATCCTAATACATAACTGTCAGCCCTCAATCTTGATATGTAACTGTCAATCATTAATCCTAATACATGTCAGTCACTAGTCCTAACAGGTATCTGTCAGCTCTTAATCCTGACACTTAGTCCTTCCGCCCTTAATCTTGATACTAATTCCAGCTTCCATCTTGGCCCTAAATTGTGTTAACTTAATGTCAGCCCTTAATCCTGATAATTACCTGTAGTCCTTAATCATGATACCTGAACATAATATTAACACACAATTCATTCCACCTTAATCTTGACAACTAATGAAACTGGACCCTTTTCATGACACTAACTGTGATCATTATCAGTCATCCATTAACCTGCACATGCCAGTCTGAGTCACAATCCTCATCTCTGCTACTGCTGAAACTGAATGAACCAAAACGTAAAACCGAGAGAGGAACGAAACCCAACAAAAATGAATGTGCTGCTACACACAGTACCTCACCATCACAGTCGAAAAGAATCAAATCTACAAACCAAAGATCTAGTAATAAATCAAGCTGCAAAAACGTAAGCCCGTTAGAGTTCAAGAGGTTCAGTGTTTTGGGGGCAACGTTCTCGCAGCTGTGCTCCATCTCACCTGTAGACCGCCCTGAAACGTCCCATAACTAGAGCAGTCTTGAATAAGACGACTATAGTTTTTTCCTTGACCCTTAATAATAAGTGGCATGAAGGAAAAGAAAGACAGAATGTATGTAAATGAAATTAAAATCTTCGCTTGCTGGTATATTTACCTCCAGAATTCTAAAAGAACTTTCGTCTAGACGGCTATAGTTTTTTCCTTGCCCCTTTATATTGAATGGTGCATGAAGAAAAAAAAATAACAGAATAGTTTTATTTGGAAGTTACAGAAATGTTTTGGTAGCCTATAGAAGGCTTCCGTTGCTTCAAGAAACAAACAATACAGAATATATTCAGGTGGTTAACTGCATGCACTGATATATACTCTAAAAGTGAGATGAACGCAGTGTAAATTAATATTAAACATTGATCATAGATGCAAACAATTTGAACAGATAGCATTAATACTACATAGAAACTCAGAACATAGCTGTTAGTCTTACAAACATTACATGATTTACAACAGAAATGGCACCATAAAGCTCCATAGCTCACCTCAATATTTACAATGTTACGGATGAATATCATATTTGAAACACAGAATAAGACATGTTCCACTTTTTCATGACACTTTTGACCCTTAAAGAATAAACACATATTGTACAACATAGGAAAACCTGTTTAGGTGGGGATACTGACTGAGTTTGGTTTTATGCCGCTTTTAGCAATATTCCAGCAACATCATGGCGGGGGGACACCAGAAATGGGCTTCACACATTGTACCCATGTGGGGATTCGAACCCTGGTCTTCGGCGTGACGAGCCAACGCTTTGACCACTAGGCTACCCCACCGCCCCTTAGGTAGGGATAGCTTACAGCCTAAATACTAAATAATTCCACAGTGATAAATGATTTTTATATGTCGAAAGTGAGCAATGTTTTAGGCATTTATAAAGTATTCCAGTCCTGTGTGACAGCAGGGTACACATGAAATGGCTTCCAACGCTGCACTCAGGAATTAAACCCAGGTCTTCAGTGTACCCCATGAATGTGTTAACCACCTGGCTACACTATCATCCCCAGTGAGTGAGTGAGTGAGTGAGTTACGCCGCACTCAGCAATATTCCAGCTATATGGCAGCGGTCTGTAAATAGAGTGAGTGAGTGAGTGAGTGAGTGAGTGAGTCAGGCCGCACTTAGCAATATTCCAGCTATATGGCAGCAGTCTGTAAATAAAGTGAGTGAGTGAGTAAGTGAGTGAGTCATTGTGCAGGGTGGTTGTGGTACATGTCAAATTATCACTATACTATTAAAATAGTTTCACCCCTTTTGCAAGTAAGAGTGAGTGAATAGGGTTTTAGGCCACTTTTGTCAATATTCTAGCAATATCACAGCAAGGGACACAAGAAATGGGCCTCACACATTGTACCTATGATTGGAATCAAACCCGGGTTTGGTGTGACAAACAAACACTTTAACCACAAGGCTGTCCCAATGCCCGTCATGTGTCAAGACTTCGATGTCGTATCAGTGTTACAAATCAACATACAAGTCAATGGTTCTTGTCATGACTACAAAGTGAAAACATTTAGAGGGTCCCAAGAACCAAATATGAAAGCAGTAAACTTGAAGGACAGCTGCCCCAACACCCATACTCTCCCCACACAAACTGCCAACAACCACCCCACACCCAAATGCCTGCTGTAGTTGGCTGTCGAGCACCCCATAAATCTGTCAATGTGGGTTTGAAATCCTGCCCTGATTACTAGAGCTGCAACGATTCGATTCGAGATATCGAAAGTCGAATCTAACACCTTAGTTTCAATTTTCAATACCCTTATCACTATTTCGATTCGATGTCTATTTCAATTGTTTCCACACAGCGAGAACGTAATTTTTAATCCAACTCGAGCAGTTTCGAGCGTTGAAATAAGGCAAAAGAAGATTGGTTGATGCCGGGCTAATTGTCCAATGAGCATTGTCTTTAGTAGACATCGCCAAGTTGACAATGAATTTCACGCCAAAAGAGCCGACTCATTTGAACTCTGAGCGAGCGAGTTTAGTTTGACGCCCACTCAGCAATATTCCAGCTATATGGCGGCGGTATGTAAATAATCAAGTCTGGACCAGACAATCCAGTGATCAAGAGCATGAGCATCAATCTGCGCAATTGGGAACCGATGACATGTGTCAACAAAGTCAGCGAGCCTGACCACCTGATCCCGTTAGTCGCCTCTTACGACAAGCATGGGTTACTGAAGATCAATATTCTAACCCGGACCTTCACGGGTCTTGAACTCTGAGAGTTAAATGAAATCTGATGTTTTTACTTGTATGAAGAATTGAATAAAAAAATGATCGAATCAAGGGTCCAATATCGAAAAACGATCGAATCGAGGTCTGGGTGAATCGTTGCAGCCCTACTGATTATGTTTCTAGGTTTGTCAGGGTCTCACCCGCTCATGTTTCACCAGAGTGGTAAATATCTCAGACCTGTACCTGTACCACTTCAGACTTTCAGCCATGTTAAACTGACATGATGTGATGAAACTTGATTACTTTTTACAGTGGCATTAAACCCAGTTCACTCACTCACAGACTTGAGCCAAATGTCAAGGCAGTTTATCAACATGGCTGCCATACATGGATGACGGATGACGGATGACGGACAGACAACAAGCCACAGGCTCACACAAACGTTCTGTTTGCAGGAGCTAAACTTGATCGGATTAAGAGGATTTAAAGGTAAGCAAAACTGTAAAATCAAAACATGAAATATCCAAAGAGTTTGAAGAACTGTAGCAAAAATAAAAAGCTCATGAATATGTCCCTGAACAGATTCATGCAGAATTACTGGACACCATAATATGCAAGGCCTAGGATACCTGATGTCGTCCATACATAATTTGCAAAACTAAATCACTTCGACACATTGACCAATATTTTCTGAGTCATGATATACAACACAATTTCATGAAATAACTGTGCTTTTTTTTAGATTTTAAAATCATATGCATGAATAACTTGACATAACTCTTGGAAATCTGTCACTGCATGCCCTTATTTGAATAGGGGGGGCCCTATTGACATTCTATCGCCCTGCCCTTTTTGGATCCATGGGGAAACACTACATTGTATAAAATATGTGGTGAGTGTTATCACATTAATAGATTTATTTCTCAAATATTAGAGATAAATATTTTGCTTTTCAGATGAGGCTTAAGGCTATAAACTTGCATAGAATCGATAGGTTTTTTTTAAGTCTTGTCTGGAAAAGACACAGCTTTGCTGCATTGCACTAAAATCCAAGCAACTTAGGACAAAAAGATTAGAACCAGAGAAATAAAGATTCCATAAAAGAAACACAAAAGAAGCTAGAGAGTAACAGAAAACATACAGTCCAATGTTGGAGAAATCCCGCCGCCACATATCGAGTCTTGTGTCCACCTCTCCCACACCCAACCAGAAATTGTTAAAATACACACCCCTCCACACAAGACTAAATTTAGTGGGCTGGTAGCTTTGAGCCCTTTGCCTCCTTCTGAGCCATCCTGGTAGTAAGGTCAAGGTCAAATAAGGGGCTGTATAATGAGTCCTCCAGATAATAACAGTTACAGAAAAGTTATGTTTTTTCAGAGATATGTCCTTTGCTAAATCACATGTACCATTCCTATGGTAATAATTTTAACAATGAGCTTTTTCAGTTTTGGAAATAAAGAATTAATCTGGAAAGCTTATGAAACAGCCCCTGTAACATCAAACATTGTGCTACTGTCATAATAATCATAATCATTAGATTAAACAGTTTGTATGGCTTTTATACAGGGATTTATCAAGACCTATCCAAAGGGTGATATTTGGCCTCAAGACTACACTAAATGTCATCAAAAATTTCCCTGTTCATGTTGATATATATAAATAATATCTTGCTAACCAATTTTATGGTTTTGGAGGGCTAAGCTGTCTTTCAGTGATAACAGGAACAATGAACAGGAAGAGGTTAGTTTATTGTTATATCATTCCCTATTTCACTGAAAACATTCTCAAAGAACAATGTCAAAATACCACTAAATTTAAGAAATTAGCAACTGAAATAATATACTTTCTTATTTCTAATTACTCTGCTAGGGGCCCTTAGTTTAGAATCCTGGATAAATCCCTGTGGTATCAAGAAAAAGTCATTTAAATTTTCTGAAAAAAACCTAGTGTTTTGGGCAGTCATTATAAGCATGAAAATGGTTAAGGGAATCCACAAATCCTGTTTTATAAAAAAGAATGTCGACATTAATCTACATGAAAAATATAAACCTGCATTACATCCCATTCACATAAATCTACACAATGGCTTGTATACCTGACTAAATGCATCACACTGTTGACAGATCAGGTTGTTGCTTGGTTGAATACATATTTTTACTGTTTTACTGAAGTAACATTTTAACAACTTTTTGATTTTTTCAAAGTAAAAGAACATCTCATCTACCACTGATCAGCAAATATACACATTCCAAGGCCAATAAAAAGGTTCGTGACAAAGTTATATTAATATATGCAAAAAATTATTCTCTTTCTATAAATAATTACATATACGGTCCAAAAATCAATTTATTTCTATTTTCAACAGTACTTTATTATTCAACATTCTGTAACAGATGTCTTCTAGCCTCAGCAATGTATGCATAATTTTACGTTGACTTACCATGGTTACAACCAGAATGAATCACCAGCTGGAATAATAGCTCCTAGCCACTTACTTTACATTTCTATAAAGGGTTAGTGATTCCATTTGAATGGCCGCATGTATGTTCCTAATACATGGAGTTACACTATGTCCACCTTATTTTTTAACTTCTATGCCTCCATAACCCCTAAAATATTTCAGGTAATCTATTAAATACCAATAATTTTTTCCTTTCCTTAATGACTGATTAGGATGTTTGCACATACGGTTACCATGGTTACACTGACTTTCAAAGTTTCCTATTGCAAATTTATCACTAACAAATCCTAGTTGAAATGAAGAGAAGATTTTATTTCAATCTTTCAACAACAAAAACATGAATATAAGACATTAAATTTTACTATAAAGCTTCTGTCCTTGTAAATGATCAGAAAGAATATTACCTGATATACACTGGCCCCAAACAAATCCATTATATTTGATTGTGGTTACTGATCATAAAATCCTTTTTTCTTATATGTTAAGATATGTCATATGTTTGTTAAATTGTTGTTTAAGCCAAACTCAGCAATATTCCAGCCATATGATGGCAGTCTGCAAATAATCAAGTCTGGACCAGACAATCCAGTGACTGACATCATGAGCATCGATCTATGCAATCAGGAAACAATGACATACGTCTAGATGTGCACTAAATATACAAGTACAAAGACTATATCTTATATCATGCATTTAGCACAATATCAAATACTTTGTAAGTGACATGAATTATATCCACTTAGAATTTCTTAATATAATCAACGGAAACTAAGCTTCAAACTGAAATTCCTCCAGTCAGTTACAGCAATCCTAGAGGAGTTGCAACAAATTAAGTAGTTAACTTCCACAGCAGTGTATGTTGTTGTAAGGTAAATAGTATGTATGAATAAATCTCCCTTGTGTCCATATGCTCTGTGCATATGTAACACACACACTGGTAGTCTTACACATATAAAGTGTCAGATTTGAAGGGAAATCTTAAAAATATACTCAAAAGTAGTTTAATACCTCATAAAGAAAACCCGACATAATGTATTTACTTGGCTTTGAGATTCTAAATCAGGCCAAAAATAATTAACTATATTTCATATAAAACAGACTGTGTATGAAATGATTTTATGTTTTAACATTTCATATTTTGGAAACTTTATGTCTTTTTGACAAATTCTCATACGTGGTTTGATTAAAGTCTATGTGAGTCACATGTGGGCCATGTGAGCCAATAACGTGAGTCAATATGTGCAGGTGGTTGTGACTCCAGGTTGTATGAGCATGTGAGTATATTGGTGACGTGAGGTGGGAAGAGAGGCAGAGAGTACTTACATCCTGTATGATGGGGATGCCGAGGTTCTGCATGTTGGTGACGATGCACTTCTCCTCCATGGGGATCTGGGCATGCTGGAGCAGCTTAGCCAGGTTCTCCTCCGTGATACCTACAGTGTAGTACAGTCACACGTCAAAGTCATATAACTCACGGTATAGGATGGTCACGTGATACCTACAGTGCAGTACAGTCACACGTCAAAGTCATATAACTCACAGTATAGGATGGTCACGTGATACCTACAGTGCAGTACAGTCACATGTCAAAGTCATATAACTCACAGTATAGGATGGTCACGTGATACCTACAGTGCAGTACAGTCACATGTCAAAGTCATATAACTAACGGTATAGGATGGTCACGTGATACCTACAGTGCACTAGACTCTCACGTCAAAGTCATATAACTCACGGTATAGGATGGTCACGTGATACCTACAGTGCAGTACAGTCACATGTCAAAGTCATATAACTCACGGTACAGGATGGTCACATGATACCTACAGTGCAGTACAGTCACATGTCAAAGTCATATAACTCACGGTACAGGATGGTCACGTGATACCTACAGTGCAATACAGTCACACGTCAAAGTCATAACTCATATTAAAGAATGGTCACGTGATACCTACAGTGCAGTACAGTCATACGTCAAAGTCATATAACTCACGGTATAGGATGGTCAAGTGATACCCACAGTGCAGTACCAAAGTAAAAGTCCGAATGCATTGTATGGGATGGTCACATGCAAAAGTCATATGATACCGACAGTGCAGTACAGGCACATCTGAAAGTATGACATATTATTACTCTCCCGTGGAAGATACTGCAGTGTAATTCTTTTATGTCACACAAAGTCACATGATATCTAGATAACTTTTATAGGACAGTCACATGTCAAAGTCATACAATACCATGTCACATCAACGGCACATGATACCTTCAACATAACGTGACACCTCACGTAGGACGATTACAAACTTAAGTCACATGATGCCCGCACTGATGGATCTTACATGTTAGTCACGTGATACCTAAAGTATAGGACAGTCACACGTCACGGTCTAGGGATACCATCACACCTATCTATGTGTGAGTGTCATGTCATACCTAGAGTAGTACGTTCACACATCACGTCCTCTGATACCATCACACACAAAAGTCACATGACATTTTCATCATATATCAAGGTATTTCGAGTCATGACGCAAACAGTTGAATCATGTCTGCATCTATTTCCTTCAACTGATGTACATCATTTTAAATAGGACATAAATAGTCACGACACTTATCATGCTTGATTAGGACAACATTACATAGATTCAAGACCAGCTGACACCATTGGCTAAGGGGCACCTGCTGTTCCTAGTGATCCACACCTGTGGGGGACATAATGCAACACTACACTTAGGACTGACAAGATGAGGTGGACATACCTATACTCTATTTACCCAATGAACTGATAACTTTGTGTAACATAACTTTTCCCCAATAACTAAGTACATGTACTACAACAAGGTTTCTACAGCTGTTGATTTTCTACATCCTCGATAATCTTTAGGGCATACGTTCCAATAAACCTCCACCATACCCTGGATGCATCTACAGCTCAGACCGATACAGACATACAGACAAATTGACAAGTCTGAAACCTTCAAAAAATATATGCAAGAACTCCTCCTCTGTCTTTCAGAGTACTTCTGCAACAATTGTGATGCCAAGTTTAATTGGTAAGATAAAACAAGCGAAAGTGAGTTATGATAGAAACCTTGTGATTGGTACGCTCAACTTCCCAGCGTAGACACCTGATTGGATAAAAAGCCAGCCAAGGGAGGTAATAAAATTATCGGGCTGAGCCGTATATGCCAGGGTATAGTGGAGCTTTATCGGAACGTATATCCTGGAGATTATCGAGGATGATTTCTATGGATTCCAACTATATGGATCCTGAATAAGATTGTCCTTTGTATCAATGTAGGTCTTGAAACCATTAGTTCAGAAAGTAGTTCATATTGAAGCCTTGCCCTTGAATTCCATGAAATCTCAACATTCTGGAGCAGAACTAATGGGGATTCAGGTAAGATCCTTATGTATGTGGTGGTTAGAGGGCACTGAATGGCTAGGTAATCAGACTTGGTGACATGGTTGAATGTGTGTCATCAATGAGACAGCCAGTACAATACACAAGGCTACCTGTTCCACCTGGAGAACGTGTCAAATCTGGATCATGAAGAACTCATGCCGAAACCACCTGAGCTCGTCCAATGTTGTTAGAAGTACTTACAGATGACGAACCTTTTCACAACGAGAAGATTATGAGTGACCTGCCCAACCTGACTCACCTCCCTTGTGAATAATGTAAAGGAGGATAATCCTGATCTTGTCATAGGCTGTGATGTTCTGGTCCAGCAGGATCGGGACAATGTTCCGGATATGATCCTTAACCTTTTCCCCATCTGCATCAGTTCCCATGGCAAGATCCTGACAATTAAAAACAGTCCCTTGAACAGACAGATTAAAAGCATCTTGCTTCACAGTGAGTGAGTGTGTTTACTTTTACGCCGCTTTTAGCAATATTCCAGCAATATCACAGCGGGGGGACACCAGAAATGAGCTTCAAACATTGTGCCCATGTGGTTGCTTCACAGAGCAGGGACGGATACAGCTTTGGAGAAAGGGTGCACACTATTGAGAAAAGGAGGGGTGCACAATTCTTTTTCACCCAAGTTTCAATGGTAATTTAACAAGAAGACAAAGTCATCAATATCCCCTGCAATGGCAAAATACTCTTCATGATTATGTCTACGAGTTATGATTATGTCAAATATTTAGGTGTGTATATAGAAAAGTGGAAGGATAGTATTGAAAGGTTTTTAAAGTTCTGCTCCAGAAAGGAGCACTACCACCAATTTCAGTCTATGTCAAACTTGTTGCCACGGAAATGCCAAAAATATTTTATTCAGAATTCCAAAACTACCAAAAGGCACCAGTACACCACCAGATCTATCTATGTGCCAAGTTTGGTGAAGAAATAGCGAACGGTTTTAGAGTTCAGCTCCGGAAAAGAGCACTACCACCAATTTCAGGCTAAGTCAAACTTTTGCCATGGAAACGCCAAAAATGTTTTATTCAGAATTCCAAAACTACCAAAAGGCACCAGTACACCACCAGATCTATCTATGTGCCAAGTTTGGTGAAGAAATAGTGAACAGTTTTAGAGTTCTGCTCCGGAAAAGACAAATGTGCACGGAGGGACGCACACACGCACGGACGGAGTCCATTTTAATACCCCCGCAAAACGCGTTGCGGGGGATAATAAACTTTCAAGACAAAAGGGGGGTTCGCTCCCCTGCACCCCTCCTCTGGATCCGCCTATGCAGAGAACACTAAGTATGACATGGCATGTGCTGTCTGAGCATGTGCAAAACATTGCTATTTAGACTAAGATTAGGTTCGATTCCTCGGTACTTTACAGCAGAACGTTATCTTATGATTGTTCAAAGAGGTTGGAAGTAGGTACATAGAACATACAACACAATTTCAAAGCTTGTCATTTCAGTAAATCTTAGTGTCAATGCATGCACTTTTATAGGCAATGCTTAGAAGACTGACAGACTAAGTAAAGACTTGGGGTGCAGACTAGTAGCTAAAGTCACTGGCTTTTTCTAATCATCCTCTGTCATGATTGTTCTTGCCCAGTTTTACAGGTCAAAAACATATCTGAAACTATTACACATTTCCTTTAGGCAGTCTACCGTGGTACAATCACAACTCCCAACACTGTCCTACCTGCTCTACTTTACACAGCTTGTCTATATGCTTCTGATACTGCCTCATGCAGTCCTCAGCAAGATGGAGGTGTGTGGAGTAGTTGCTCAGCTCCTTCTGGTACTGGGGCATCTTTTTCAACATTTGTGACAGGTCTCGGATGTTGGCCTTGTCGGGGGTGGTTAGACGCTTATCCTCAGCAAAGCGTTTCAGTTTTTTGGTTACTTGTCTGAATAAAATAAATAATGACAATCAGAAGAATTATTAACATTAGTGAGTTAGGTTTTATGCCGCTTTTAGCAATATTACAGCGAAATCACAGCAGGAGCCACCAGACATGGGCTTAACACATTGTACCCATGTGGGGAATCGAACCTGGATCTTCGGTGTGATGAGCCAATGCTTTAACCACTAGGCTACCCCACCGCCCCTGTTAACATTAAACAAAGATGACCAAGTCTTATCGTGATGATGTCTGTCTCAGTTGGTGGGTTGGGGAACAACAAGTTTAGCCGAATGTCCATTTTTTTCATGTCTTTGTTGGTAAAGTCATCAGCAGCTATGATTTCATTGCCCACTTAGCATACTCTGCACTCAGTGCCTTACCATTTACCATTACAAGAAATAACTTCAACCTTTTTTTCATTTTTTAAACGTTACCAAATGTTGATTTTCCAATGTTGTTCCATGGCCAAACAGCTTGCTTAAGTGTGTAGGAGTTAAAATTTGTATCTCCTTCTCTTTGCCTCTTGTGTAACATTACTCGTCCTTTCTGCCAATATGATTAGTACATTGATACAAGATACTGTACAGACGCTCCATCACCTTTCTCTTTGTTTGTTTGTTTGTTGTTTAATGCATTTAGCAATATTCTAGCTACATGGCAGCGGTCTGTAAATAATTGAGTCTGGATCAGACAATCCAGTGATCAAAATCATACGATCATACGATTACACGTGTCAACCAAGTCAGTGAGCCTGACCACACGATCCCGTTAATTGCCTCTTAAGACAAGCATGGGTTACTGAAGATCAATTCTAACACGATCTAACACGATGCAGCGTTATGAAGTCCACTATGGTCCCTGTGCAATATGTTGGACACAACAGGGTGTAATTTACAAACTTTGTGTATTTTGATGGCAACTGAAATTTACTGTCTTCATCAGGGAACCAGATTCCCAGGTGAAGAGGCAGTAGTCTTTATTTTGTTTCATATAAATATACTGAGAGAAACAAATAAAGGAACACAGGAAAATTCAAACGTTCCGTTAATATTTTCCAGTTTTCATCACCAGCTTTGAATAGCGCTGTGGGAGGAAATCTGGGAATAAATAAAGGAGCACTGCCATGAAGTGGTGTTCCCTTTATTTGTTTCCCTCAGTATATCATCTGGTAATCAAGGTTTGCCTGGTCTCTATGGTGTGTATTAGAGGGGGTCCCCTGTACAAGGTTGTATATCTACTTACTGAGACACCACAGCAATGTGCTGATGTCGTAGTTCCAGCCACAGCTCATCGTGGTCATCCAGGAGAACCTCCTTTTCGTTGACATCACTGCCACTTGTGTTTTCGTACCTGTGGAAGGTGCATGTGTACTTACAAGGTTCATACAGCCAAGATCTCATGAGATTCAAGGGCTTTTCAAGGACTTTTCATGGACATATGATGTGTTTTCAAGCACCACTTTTTTTAACAAAGTATCGCAGACAAGTTTCACTTTCAGTTTCGACATTGCTGCTTCCAGCATTAACAACGATCTGTCAGAACACAGCGCAAACAGACGATTCACAGACAGTGCCGGTTTCTTTTTTTATGATGTAAGGAACCAGGAAATAGATGCAATTTAATCAAAACGATTGATTGATCGTCAGTGGAACCACAACAAATATTTTAATGAAATTTCAAGCACTTTTCAAGGACACATTACAAAATCCAGCACTTTTTAAGTACTTGTGGTAAATTTTTCAAATTCAAGTACTTTTCATAAGCTGAGAAGCTTCTCCCTCTGTGTCATGCTTACTGGTCCTGCTATTTATAAAAAAGTCATCTTTACACCTTTACAGTTAAATTCAACCACTTTTAAATTCTTTGTTGTAGGGTACATTTCTATATGCAGAACCCTGATTTAGAGAAACAAACCTTCCATCCATTCAAATCAAGCAAGTCCAATGTGGGAGAGGCATTGCCACACTCAGACAATCCAGGAAACTATTTAGTGTACAAGTCGATGCAATGCAATGGAATGTCCAATCTGAACTGAAAGTAATTCAATAACATAAAATAAAATGAGAATTATTTATCTTATTATCTTGTGATTAAAATGACTTCATGGTTTATCACTGATAGTTTTAAACTTCAATTTGAAAAGATCACTCACTTATAGACATCGTTTTCAATAGGTAGAAGGTCATAGGCCATGGCCTGAAACGTCAGCTCATGCAGGAGAGGAGAGATGGGGTCAAATCCTCGGTCCAGAATCAGCAGGACTGACCTGTCCTTGGCAATGCCCTGTTGAAGATACAACATCATCAGTAACACATATAATTACTTTAACCATGCAATTAAATGCATCACCAATTAATGACTGTCAACTCCTAACCTAAAATGCAATGCAAGTAGTATTGCTTTCGAACTTAAAAGTGTATTAGCAATTTATTAGCAAACAATAACCACGGTAACACCAAGACTGTAGACCTGGAATGTCATGATATGATATGGGCTGATATGACTTGCTTCCTTCACAGATTTACTTCAACTGCTTAACAAGAGATCTCACTTCCATGATTTCAAAAGTAGGACCACTGGCATTGGTTGGCATCCCATTTTTCATCACAGAAATCAATTCTCAGAATCAGAAAAATCCAAACTGGTAAGAAAACCAAGCTCAACTAAACTAAATTAGGACTGACTGACTGTCTGAGTTTGGTTTTATGCTGCTTTTAGCAATATTCCAGCAACATCCAGCGGGGACACCAGAAATGGGCTTCACACATTGTGCCCATGTGGGGATTCGAACCCGGTCTTTGGCGGACGTGGCTAACGCTTTAACCATTAGGCTACCCCACCGCACTAAATGAGGAAGTGGTTACATTCTGACCTACCTCCCCATGGTGATGTCATCAGCTTTGTAGCCATCAATTTTCTGCTGCACCATCTGAGCAAATTCAGCATTGCGATCAAAGTCACTGGAATAGTAGAATCGGCATTGAAAAGAATCAGTTTGTAATAGAAATCCTTATAAGGACAGACCATTTATATTTCTTGTTTTAGGGATTTTTGTCCTAAGAAAACCTGAAGGCAGAAGGGAAAAAAATAAAAATAAAATCACCAGTGAAAGTAATATTCCTACTAAATACTCGAAGTATTTTACTTTTGGCAATTTATGAAGTGTATATGGGCCAAAATTGGAAATTTTAATATAAATTGTATATTTATATACTTATCCTATCTCACGACTAGCACCTCTCTCTCTTGCTTCGACTTTTAGTGGAACGACTGTAAACTTTTTTTCCATAGGCCTCCTTGTCCATTAAGCCCGTGCCCTCCATGCTGCTCTCCTTAATATGTATGTAGGCTGATTGTGTTTGGAAGATCTGCTGGTATGGACAAGATGACATCCTCATAGTCACAGCCTCAAGTCGTGTTTCCATGGAAACAGCGAAAAAACTAAATTCTGAAAAACTTTAAAATAGCAAAAGGCACATCAATGGGTAATGATTAACATGTGTGTGAAGTTTGGTGAACCTAGCAATGTAAACTTTAAGAGATGTATGCTCTCAGACAAAATAATCAAACATATTTGGCACTGGAGGCAGCAAGTCGTGTTTCCATGGAAACAGCAAAAAATACAATTCATATCTGGATCTACCCCCCAAAAGGCACATCTAGGGATCATGCTTGATATGTGTACCAAGTTTGATGAAGCTAGCATGTATAGTTTGGAAGATCTGCTCCGGACAAGATGACATCCTCATAGTCACTGCCTAAATCATGTTTCCATGAGTCTATAGGAGCCTCTATAGGAGCGTAGTAGAAAACAGAGTTAATGGCGGCTAAGTAGGTAGCTAACGTAGTACCCTTGAGTTTCTTAGTAGTGCGGAGATGCTGGAGAAACTCAGCAACGACCGGAGCCGAGGTGGAAGTGGGAAGTGTATAACTTTTGGTAGCAGAGCTGGAGGGGGGAACACATAGGCATTGAGACCCTCCCATGATATTGCCAACACGTCGAGGTCCCAAGCCAAGGAGTCTGGGACTGGGGATATGAACTTTGGAAGTTGGTTGTTGAACCTTGTGGCGAACAGATCTATTTGAGGCCGTGATAATGGGTAGATCATCGACTGAAAGATCTGGGGCAGTAACTTCCACTCTGTCGGGGACGGTCGGTTGGATCTGGACAAGGCTCTGGCTACAATGTGAGTGAGTCGATGAGATGGAAGAACCTGATCACCCATTGTAGCAGATTCGCCGAGCCTGTCGAGCCTAGATGATTTATATACCAAACCACTGTTGAATTGTCTGATTGGATCAGCAGACTGGTTGATTGAAGCTCTGTTGCCCAATGTGAGATGGCTTGAATTCCAGCTCTTTTATATGAAGTACCCGTTCGTCGGATGACCACAGCCCGACCACTTGGTGGTCAGGAAGTGAGCTCCCCAACCCATGAGGGATGCATCGACGAATAGGTGATGAGTCGGTGCAAACATTCCGTTCGTCGAGCCACCATTGAAGGACTGGACGAAGCAGTTCTGGAAGGCAAATTAGTTCCTTGGGGTTGTCGGCCTGAAGGTACGGGCGTAGAAATCGCTGTATCGGCCGAAGTTGGAGCTGGCCTCTGTACGTTAAGGCTTGAGCTGACGTCAGAAGGCCCAGTAGCTCTGCTACTGTCGTAAGGTTCTCGCCTGAGACAGTGCTGGAGGAGTGCATTGCTGAATCTTTATCCACCTGTCATGAGGTACGAACATCATCCCCTGACGAGTGTCGAACAGTGCTCCGATGAATTGGAGTTTCTGAGTCGGTATTAGTTCGATTTTTGCGATGTTCAGCAGCCACCCTAACTGTCTGAGCAGCGTGGTGGTGAACTGTAGTAGCTGGCGTAAGCAACACGATCGGATCCTGTTGAGCCTGGATGCAATCGTCTATGTAGCTTTGAAGGTGATCCCTTGAAAGTGGAGGAAGCTCGTTATGGGCTTGGTAATTCGGGTAAAAGCCCGGGGCCGTGGAAATTCCAAATGGTAGGAATTTCCATTGGTAGTGATTCCGTTGAACAAGCGAAGGTACTTCCGGTGTTCTGGATGTATCGGAGCGTGAAGATAAGCATCCTGAAGATCTAGGCTGATGAGGAAGTCTCCTTCTTCAGGATGGTGCGTAAAGGTTGATCGACACCATCCTGAAGTGAGGCGGTGGAAGCAGGAATCGGGCATTGAACAACTTCATATTGAAGATGAGCGGAGTTTGTTGGAATTTTCCTTGGAACCAAGAAGATGGGGAGTAGAATCCTGCAGTGACGGGCTGATGGACCTAGGAGCTCTATCGCGAGTTTGTCTAATAGCATTACCTATTGTGGATTGCAGAGTCTGAAGCTGGTCCACAGGATATGAGCGAGCGGATCACGGCGTGAGAGGTGGACTGCCAATATCGGGTAGCTGATAGCGTGAAGTAGCAGGTTGGTGGCGTCACGGATCTTTGAGGATGGTCCAATTCGGGCGAAGATCTGTTGTAAATACCGGAGCGACTGGGAATGTCCACTGCTTCCCCGGCTGGTCCCTGGGCCAGAGTCCTGGGGGGCGGGGAGGAACCACCACGGCCAGATCTGTTTCCTCTGCCACGGTCTTGAGTGGATCATACACTAAAAAGATTGCGTAAAACAGATTGGTAGGGGGTGAACTGTGCAGTTCGATGCTGTTTTAATGAGTCCTGGAGCTGTGACTTCTGTATCTTTAACAGTTCAATGGGACTTTATCAAATTAGATTTCTTTGGATGCTACCATTGAAGAGGGAGTCAGTAAACCAAGGCTGGTGAAACAGTTCTGTTTTAAATCGCTCCTCCCATGAAGAGATGTTAAGGGGTCCACGTCAGCGAACAGCAAGAGTGTAGCCCAAAAAATGAGACAACTGATCCAGGATAATTTGGAACTGGTCCAGAGCTAAAGTCATGCATCCTCGGATGTAAGCGTCTTGATCAGAGTAAGTATGCTCCAGAGCAGTGTTAACAGCGTCGACTGCTGCAATCGCATAACTAATAGATGGCAGCGTCTTTCTCACGCGGCTGAATCCATGTCAGCCAACTCTCAGTCCTCAATAAGGTAGGGCGAAGCAGCTCGTTTGCCACACAGGGTTCCAATATCCTCATCAACTGTTGGAGCCATAGAGATTTTTGTTAGGCCGTGGACATGAGAGGTAGAAGTATTATATCTGGGAGCAGAGAATCCATCCTTAATTCATTTCAGGCTCTTGAAACCATCATTTAGTGTACTGGATAATTTCAGAATACAAGGTCGAGGTGGTAGGGTGATGGTAGACCAATCCGGTTCCTAAGAGTATAAGAGTGATCCAGGTCATCTGCTAAAGTACTCAAGGGAAGTTGGAGCTTCTCAACAATCCAAAGGAGTACCTGAGGTGTCTCAACTGCTGCAAAGCTACCCCCAGGGTAGATAACTCAGAGTGAGCGGGAGATGCATGCATGGCTATGGCTATTTCAGGAGGTGGACCAGATGAGCTAGGAGCTACGAAGCGGATGGGCTGGAGCAGAAGGCTGTATTTGGTTCCAGGCTGAGGTTATGGCCCTGATCATCATATTTAGATCTGGAGTCGCTGTAGGAGTGGGATTGTTATCAGGTTCCCATGACTCAGCGATGATCCTAGAGTGATTCTCAGAGCGTGTAGACGGAACATCATACGAGACTGTAGGCCTATTAGTGGTATCAGAGCAATGATCACCTGCTGTAGTTCTAGTTGGTCATCTGGTTCTGATTGGAGCTCTGGTTCGACCATCTGAATAGGATCGGCCATGAGATGTGGATCTGTACTGTGATCCTGATTGGTCAATGGCTCTGTAAGGTGATCTAGATCGTATAGGTGACCTGGGTTGGTAAGATGATCTGGATTTGTAAAGTGATCTAGATCGATTCGATGCAATAACTGGAAACTGTGATCATGATATGGATCTATAAGGTGATCTGGATCGAACAGGTGATCTGGTTTGCAGTTGCGATCTGGCTTGATTTGGTGATCTGGATTGGTTAGGTGATCTACTTTGATGTTGTGATCTGGATCAGTTCGGTGATCTGGATTGGTCTGGCGATCTACTTCGATGTTGTGATCTGGATCAGTTAGGTGACCTAGATCGGTCTGGTGATCTGATTCGAGGTTGTGATCTGGATCCATTCGGTGATCTGGATCGGTCCGGTGATCCGATTCGAAGTTGTGATCTGGATCCATTTGGTGATCTGGATCGATAAGGTGATCTGGATCTGTCCGGTGATCTGATTCGAAGTTGTGATCTGGACCCGTTTGGTGATCTGGAATGATCTGGTGATGTAGATCGTGAGTTGTGGTCTGGATCCTGACTGTGATCTGGAATGATCTGGTGATCTGGATAGGCACAGCGGTGATCTAGATTGGGCTTGTGATGGTGATCTGGATCGTGAAGGTGATCTAGATCGTTGTGGTGATCTGGAATGGCGTGGCGATCTGGATCGGGCGATTAGGTGATGAAACCTGAAGTGTTGATTCATGATGAACGCCCCTCGGCGGCGCTGTTATAGCCAGCTCCGTCCAGTTCAATGAAATGTGGTGAGTTGGCTGGCGAGCGGTTGGCCAGGCTCCAAACAAACTGAGACAGTCGAGGGATATGTACCGATGATCTGGATGATGATAGTGTCGATCTAAGGACCCCTGGTAGTGTAGATGGGACAGGCAATGAAGAATTATCGATCACGAAAGTGATCTGACGCTATGGAAGGAGGTGATTGATGCGTCGTGCGTAATAGGTGCGAGCGTCCTCAGATAAGTAAGAATCTGATGAAGCGACCATAAAATCCTCTTGAACCACAGGCGTCGCCTCTCTTGCATAAAGGTCACGATTTTCTGTCACTGTAACTTGATGTTGAGTGGGATCAGATCTCCTGTCCCTAATTCTCCGGGGAGCAAACAGCAGTAAGCCTTAATACATCTTTTAGTGAATATCACTTGCCACATCATTTGTTCCAGTTACACAAGAGTGACTGACTGGTTGAGGGATGAATAATTTGTCTTGCATTGAGCACAAACTTTCCTTTTCCTTGACTGATTATCACTTTTCCCCATGATGTTAGGGTGAAATAATGTCCCTAATATACCGCACGTCCACACAATTGTGCAACAAGAAAGAGAATGATCATTCAAGGTAGTCACGTTGGCAATTAGTGGAGCATGCTGCAAGCTTTATTAGGAACTAGGAAGCTAATTTAGGAGAGCAGCATGGAGGGCACGGGCGAATGGACAAGGAGGCCTATGGAAAAAAGTTTACAGTCGTTCCACTAAAAGTCGAAGCAAGAGAGAGAGGTGCTAGTCGTGAGATAGGATAAGTTTAAAAATAAAACATTTTCTTGTAAGTTTACATTTTTGGCCCACAAAAACATTAGGATTTTATTTTTTGAGCGGGAAAATTAATTTTTAATTTTTTTCTTATTCTTGAAAAAATATGACAGGCGGATCCGTAAAACAAGAAATAAAATTGGTCTGGCCTAATGATCTTATCACATCAGCATGACATGATTATGACAGGTAGGATATATCTTCAATATTTGTTGACCACAATATACAGGATCAAACATCCTGAATTACACAGATTCAACCCTTTACAGTTTTCCATGACTTAATGTGGAAATACTTTAAACATGATGCAATCCTTGGTCACAAGATAACCTGAAACATTTACAATCCAGAGATGTGATAACATAAAGTGAGTGAGTGAGTTTAGTTGTATGCCACACTCAGCAATATTCCAGCTGTATGGCGGCGATCTGTAAATAATGGAGTCTGGACCAGACAATAAAGTGATCAACATCATGTGCATCGTTCCATGCAATTGGGATATGATTACATGTGTCAACCAAGTCAACAAGCCTGACCACCCGATCCCGTTAGTCGCCTCTTACAAGCATGGGTTACTCAGATCAATATTCTAACCCGGATCTCCACGGGTGATAACATAAAGAAATGACCTGCAATTAAATACTAAAGTCTGAAATTCTACCAGCCCTCAGGTTACTTAATGGGTTGGACAAACTGACTCAGGCAAGCTACCTAAACCCTCTCTCTCTGTGTGAAAGTCTCACCTCCTAAATCTGACGGCAGGGTACTCCCCCAGTGTGGCACACAGCGTGGCAATCTGTTCAGCACAACGCTCCAGGTTCATGGTCCTGCCCCCCGTCCTCTGGGGGTTGAAGTAGTATTGGAACGTGTCATGCGAGTCCAGAGAAAACACCTGCAATCCCAATGATCAGTAAATGACTTGAAGCTCGTTTGTTTCACCTTAACGCCACATTCCACAATACTCAGCCTTAGGGACCATTCATTATTTATGCATGACATTTACTATGTACATAAATATAGGGGGGTGGGGGTGGGTGGGTGTCATTCACATTGTACATGCTTCTCCATAAAAATTATCATCACCCCACAAGCCATAAATTAAATGAATGGTCCCTTATCAATTTAGCCTCGTGAACAGTCAAGCCCAGTCAAACAAGTTAGTGAGGGGAGTGGGTTTTACTCTGCTTTAAGTAATATTTCAGTAACTTTAGGGTTGGGGAGATCAGGGCTTCATACATTGTATCCATGTGGAGAATTGAACTGTATACAGTAGGGTATCCTTACCTGTGCTTCATATGGAAGGAAAGCAATGTTGATCTCCTTCAGTGTCTTTATTCTCTTGCTTGCAGTGGATTTAGTCAACTCGTTGAACAGCTCGTCAGGACATGCTGAAGTCAAAACGCATGATACATTCCCGAGCTGCTTTCATATCTATTACCTTCACTACGTGCAGAACAAGGTTAGAATTGGTCTTCAGTAACCCATGCTTGTTGTAAGAGGTGACTAACGGCATCGGGTGGTCAAGCTTGCTAACTTGGTTCACTCATGTCCTCGGTTTCCCGATTGCAGAGATCGATGCTCATGCTGCTGATCGCTGGATTGTCTGGTCCAGACTTGATTATTTACAGACCACAGCCATATAGCTGGAATATTGCTGAGTGCGGCGTAAAACTAAACTCACTCACTCACTCATTGCGTAGAACGATGCTCATGGTGTTGATCACTGGACTGTCTAGTCCAGACTCCATTATTTACAGATCGCCTCCATATAGCTAGAATATTGCTGAGTGCAGCATTAAACAACAAATGAACCTACCAACATGTTTGTCAATTTGTTCTGGGATGTATGTATCTATCAACTACCTGCCTTCCATAAAAAATCTGGGTTCTCGGTAATCAACAAATTCTGTATCTTATTTATGTACATTGCTCAAAGTGCTATTTTACATGATTTAATTGATTTACTAAACATTTAGGTTTGGGCTCCGTATGCCCATCATACTTGCTTTTGTGTAACCATGGTAACTCACCTTCTGTGAAGAAAACATGAGCAAGAGCATACTGTGTTGAGTGGATATTCTGGAAATCTTGTATCAGACCCTTCACCGACTGAGGATTAAAATACAAAAACTTGTGTTATCGTTTTAATTACAGTAAAAAATATTCTACAATTCTGCAACAAGTGCATATTCAACTTGACTTATCAGTTCCACATGTAACATCTACATTTCACAAATGTAAAATAACATTAATTACACTTCAAAATTATGAAGGAAACATTTCCATTTAAAAATTTTACAGTAAACAATTAAATTGCAAAATTTTCAGCAGAAATTATTTAATGCAAAAATTAAGTAGCAACTATAAAAACCACAGGTCATAAGGAAATACTGACCGTTTCTGACTCTCCTCAAGCCTATTACTGAACTGGTTTGACTGCTCATTCTACTTCTAAGCAAACTGACATTTAAGACCTATAAACTTGACTGTGAATAAGCATGATAGCTAACCATAAAAAAATAACAGACTTTTGAAAAATCAAATTACAAGCTGATCCAAAGTATGTCCAAACTAACCTTTTCTGTTGGAGTTACAAGGTATATAGCTTCCAAGTTCGGTAGCGGCTCTCGTCGCTTGTTGATGTCCTCAACCACTGTAAAGGAGAACCAGGCACAGGTACATCATAACGTCAGAGAGCAATAGGGTGTTAAGATTTGTATTTCCTACATGACTTACCATGTATATAAGAATTGTTTGTGAAACTATGATCCAATGTTTTTTACCAATGTTTCAGGTATTAACTTTTGTAAAAGTAAAACTTACTGAGAAGGGGTAATCCCAAATATAACATGTTACACAAACATTTTGAACAGAGACAAATAAGTGAGTGAACAGCATGTCAGTCACATCATGGCTCTTCAGCTTCATGGGTCTTCAGTGTGATGAGCAAACACTTTAACTACTAAGCTAACCCATCGTCCGCGTCTGACCCTCTGACAAATCCGGCAGATCCGCCAACGGTCCGATAGAAGTCTAGAACCCGCCGGCCCCAGTGTCAGACTGTATATTTCACAATGACTTTCGCTGAAGTTGTTATATGTGAGAAGTGACACTTGTTTGCCCTTTATAAATCTTATTATGTTTGTTAAAAATTTCAATGCCAGTTATAAGAAATGTTAAATATGAAATGTGTGTTTTAATTTTATTCTATGGGTCCTGTGAATTTTGAATGGGTCAGACAGACATCTGAAACTTACAGGACCCAATGTCCTGTTACCTTGAAACACCATTCGTGAACACTGCCCCTTCCTGCGGGAAGACAGACCAAGTCAGATGCAGATCCTTCACAATTGCAACTTTGTTCAGGCCAATCACAAGCATGGTGCAGACAAACCATGAGTCATAATCAGGAGGAATCTGGATTTTAACCCATCATCAAAATAGTTTAGCATGCTGATGGAATTTCTTAGATGTCTAGGTTGTTTGATCAGTAAGAAGCATAGACAATGGGGATACAGGATAAACCCCCAGGGTTAAGGGGGTTCACTCTAATTCGGCTCCTACATCCCACTAAAATCGGGGTAAATTTGGTGGAACATCAAATTATGCCCACCACACAACTTATGCCAAGATGGTTACATTTTGAAGAGCAGATGCTACATTTTGCTACACAATTGCATCAGCTGGTAGGTCAGCATTTTAGTTTTAGCTCAGACTGCTTAGCAAAATGTAGTGAGTGAGTGAATATGGTTTTACGCCACTTTTAGCAATATTCCAGCAACATCACAGTGGGGGACACCAGAAATGGGCTTCAAACATTGTACCCATGTGAGGAATCGAACCCGGGCCTTCAGTATGACGAGCAAATACTTTAACCTTTAGGCTACCCCAACGCCCCTCAGCAAAATGTAGGATCTGCTTCCCAATAAACAACAATCTCGTCATTAATTTGTGGGGGCGACGGTCTGTAAATAATCGAGTCTGGACCAGACAATCCAGTGATCAACAGCATTGATCTGCGCAATTGGGAACCGATGACATGTGTCAACCAAGTCAGCGAGCCTGACCACCCGATCCCGTTAGTCGCCTTTTACGACAAGCATAGTCGCCTTTTATGACAAGAATGGATTGATGAAGACCTATTCTACCCCGGATCTTCATGGGTCAGAGATGTGTTTTGGGGAGTGTAGGAGCCAAACAGGGGTGAAACCCTTTATTCCTGGGGGACTGATCCCATACCATGATCTCTACTAGTTTACTCTAATATCAACATACATGTTATCCCGCTGGACATAATCTCGGTCATGTTGAGACATGCTGAGATCATGCGCATACTCAGCTGGTCAACAACCAGCACCTTCCAGTCAGATCCTGTCTTCTTCACAGACAGGATCACATCATTGAGTATCTCTGAAATTGGAGCAAAACAAAAATAGTTACCATGGATACAGGAAATTACCTGTGAGATTTTTTAATAAGGACATATCGTAAAAAAAATATGCCGAATATTCCTGACATATCAATGATATTGTCAATAAGTGTAATTATAAACTGCAAATAACATAACGCAAGGTATTGCATTTCAGTGAGCAATATAACAGCAGAGCTGAGGTGAAATGTGGTTTAACATCATGTTTAAGAATATCGTATTCACACTGTGAATTTCACAGCTCACATGCTTGAGACTTTGTGGGTGTTTGTAGTAGGCCAGACAAGGGACAGTTTTGTAGTAACAGCCCAGAGATACTACGCTGAAATTTAACCAGGAAAATCCAAACAGAAACAACAAACTGTGCACCCTGGTCATAATGCAACTGGTTTTAAAGCCAACCTGGTTATAACGCCATAATTTTGCAAAACAGATTTTCATCCTTTGACATGCCCTGAATATCACACCAAACTGTCTGCAATGCCACCATCAACCTTTTTCAGAAGAAATGTTCCAATTCCCTGATTATAATGTACTGAATACAAGGCAGTCGGTCCTTGTTTTCCCCTGAATGAGTGAGTTGAGTTTTCCGCTGCTTTTAGCCAGGTTCATAGAAGATATGTAGACGATAACAGAAAACAATACAGACGATATATGATCAACAGACTACCTGATAAATATTGTGATTTAATTAGTGTCCTCATGATCATCTCTGTCGTTATAAACACATATTTAGTGGTATGATGAGACTTATTTCATAAGGAATCGTCTCTGTGATATAGTGGTTAGAGCGTCTGCCCGGAGAGCGGAAGGTCGTGTGTTTGAATCCCGGCCACGTCATACTAAAAGACATTAAAATATGGTACTTGTTGTTCTGTGCCTGGCGCTCAGCATTAATGGGTACAACAAGGACTGGTGGGCTCGGAGTCAGTGAAATGTGTCTGAGTGGGGTATTCATGCTCACTGCGGCATGGTATCTCAGTGAGCTGGTATAAAAACCAGCTTAAGTCTGGGCTAGTACATGCAGCCACACATACACACGCATGCATGTCATCACATGAGCAAAATATTCTTAAGTACGACGTTTAACTCCATTTCACGTCACCTCATCTATTTCATAAAGCCTTACACTCATCATCATGATATGTATTGTTTATTTAGAACAGCATGTATTTAACATTACATCAATCACTTATCCAGACCCTGTGATAAAATAATTTCAAATATTCCCTAAAGGATATCCAACCAGGACATTATCGGCCAACACCCAAACAAAATGTCATTTTCGTGTTTCCCTAATGACCTAGAAATCATACGATCGCATGATAATTTTCTCTAAAAAAACAGTAACCACGGGTCATCTCATTTGAATGACAGGTGGTGATTTATTCCACAAATTATTCAAAAAAGTATCTTCATGTATCCAATCTGGTCCATAAATGCACATCTTTGGTGCTGCGATAGAATCACTGAACCAGTGTCAAATACAGTGTCAATATGTTAATGTGCTACATATTTATTATCTACAGTGACAGCAAATCTGATCCAAAATATTTTATCCTAGCCTTGAAAGCATGGATTTGCTATCATGCTTTGTACAAAATAGTGATAGGGGAAAACAAAAATCCAGTTTTATGTCCGATTAACTTAACTGAAATGATATATAGACATTATCATATTTCTTACTGTCGTGAACTGCCCTCTTCAACGCCATCTTGGATGAGTAACCGTCTAAAGCTCCTCGCAGCGTTTTCCTACCAGCTTGCAAAGCTACAACGGTTTCGGTTATCGTTGTTTGGAGCCTAATGCAGGTGTTCGCTGGGAAAGATATATTTAAATTAATACCCAAGTCTAATGTGTTAAATGTCAACGCTTTTTATTTCAAAACGATTCCATAATGTGTGATATGATTTTTGACAAAACATTTCTTTTTTGTTTTGGGATGATGAATATTTCTATAAATGGGAATGGAATACATAATACGAAACGAAATATATTTCTGGCCTTCCATTTCACTTAGTTGTTCAATGTGTCCAAAACATTGTGTATGCACGCATGTATAGGTTTTATTATGTTGTCTCTAATCAACATACAATACAATTACATATCTGGAAAAGAATACATTTGACATAGATTTTATGAGTGCGTCAAAATGTGACTGAAGAGGTAGTAAAAGTCTCACGATGAAGATCCGATCACAGTTTGTGTTACTGTTCGATACGGAGCGCGATTTAATTCGAACATGTAAAGGTGCAGTTGTGGACAATTATCCGAGAGGCAATTCCAGCCTCCAAATGCCTCACATGCAAATTAATCTTCCCCGAGGTAAGATATTTTACCTCGAGCATCTTCAGTGTAAATTCATTGCAGACAGAACAGCTCAGTTGCTTAATTATGAATTTCTGAAACTATTGTTTTATGAAAAATACAAGTGTCATATTCTTTGAGCGATTTCAATGGAGAGAGTGACCAAGTTAGTGTCTGGATGAGAGGGAACACGGCGTTTCAGAGCTAATAGTAGAGCGCAATAGTGCAGTGGTAAGGCGTCTGCCAGTCAGTCACGCTGAAGGCCCGGGTTCGATCCCCGGTGGAGGCACCTCGGTTCGGGTCCCGAGGTGGGCACATTTGCGTAGTATCCTTGGACAAGATACTTAGATCCACATTGTCTCAGTTCACCCAGCTGTGAGATGGGTACCCGTGAGGATGTGCTGGCAATGTGAGTGTTTAGTTCATTGCGCCTAATAGGCAGCATGGCTGTAGGCTCCCAGGGAGTTGAAAAAGTATCGGAAAGTACGATAGTGCCCTATGACCGGGGATAGTAATGTACGTAGCGCCGTGAGCAGGCAATGTGCCTGGATATGAGCGCCATATAAGCGGACTATTACTATTACTAATCAGAATAAAAAGAAGTTGTTATCCTTAAAAACGTTTCATGTATCCAATCCTGAAGGAGCAAGATATAGCTCTGAAAGTCGTGTAAAGAATAAAAAGAAGTTGTTATCCATAAAAACGTTTCATGTATTCAATCCTGAAGGAGCAAGATATAGCTCTGAAACGTCGAGTAAAGAATAAAAAGAAGTTGTTATCCATAAAAACGTGTCATGTATTCAATCCTGAAGGAGCAAGATATAGCTCTGAAAGTCGTGTAAAGAATAAAAAGAAGTTGTTATCCATAAAAAACGTTTCATGTATTCAATCCTGAAGGAGCAAGATATAGCTCTGAAACGTCGAGTAAAGAATAAAAAGAAGTTGTTATCCATAAAAAACGTTTCATGTATTCAATCCTGAAGGAGCAAGATATAGCTCTGAAACGTCGAGTAAAGAATAAAAAGAAGTTGTTATCCATAAAAACGTTTCATGTATTCAATCCTGAAGGAGCAAGATATAGCTCTGAAACGTCGAGTAAAGAATAAAAGAAGTTGTTATCCATAAAAACGTTTCATGTATTCAATCCTGAAGGAGCAAGATATAGCTCTGAAACGTCGAGTAAAGAATAAAAAGAAGTTGTTATCCATAAAAACGTTTCATGTATTCAATCCTGAAGGAGCAAGATATAGCTCTGAAACGTCGAGTAAAGAATAAAAAGAAGTTGTTATCCATAAAAACGTGTCATGTATTCAATCCTGAAGGAGCAAGATTTAGCTCTGAAACGTCGAGTAAAGAATAAAAAGAAGTTGTTATCCATAAAACGTGTCATGTATTCAATCCTGGAAGGAGCAAGATATAGCTCTGAAACGTCGAGTAAAGAATAAAAAGAAGTTGTTATCCATAAAAACGTTTCATGTATTCAATCCTGAAGGAGCAAGATATAGCTCTGAAACGTCGAGTAAAGAATAAAAAGAAGTTGTTATCCATAAAAACGTTTCATGTATTCAATCCTGAAGGAGCAAGATATAGCTCTGAAACGTCGAGTAAAGAATAAAAAGAAGTTGTTATCCATAAAACGTGTCATGTATTCAATCCTGAAGGAGCAAGATATAGCTCTGAAACGTCGAGTAAAGAATAAAAAGAAGTTGTTATCCATAAAAACGTGTCATGTATTCAATCCTGAAGGAGCAAGATTTAGCTCTGAAACGTCGAGTAAAGAATAAAAAGAAGTTGTTATCCATAAAAACGTGTCATGTATTCAATCCTGAAGGAGCAAGATATAGCTCTGAAACGTCGAGTAAAGAATAAAAAGAAGTTGTTATCCATAAAAACGTGTCATGTATTCAATCCTGAAGGAGCAAGATATAGCTCTGAAACGTCGAGTAAAGAATAAAAAAGAAGTTGTTATCCATAAAAACGTTTCATGTATTCAATCCTGAAGGAGCAAGATATAGCTCTGAAACGTCGAGTAAAGAATAAAAGAAGTTGTTATCCATAAAAACGTTTCATGTATTCAATCCTGAAGGAGCAAGATATAGCTCTGAAACGTCGAGTAAAGAATAAAAAGAAGTTGTTATCCATAAAAACGTTTCATGTATTCAATCCTGAAGGAGCAAGATATAGCTCTGAAACGTCGAGTAAAGAATAAAAAGAAGTTGTTATCCATAAAAACGTGTCATGTATTCAATCCTGAAGGAGCAAGATATAGCTCTGAAACGTCGAGTAAAGAATAAAAAGAAGTTGTTATCCATAAAAACGTTTCATGTATTCAATCCTGAAGGAGCAAGATTTAGCTCTGAAACGTCGAGTAAAGAATAAAAAGAAGTTGTTATCCATAAAAACGTTTCATGTATTCAATCCTGAAGAAGGAGCAAGATTTAGCTCTGAAACGTCGAGTAAAGAATAAAAAGAAGTTGTTATCCATAAAAAAAAACGTTTCATGTATTCAATCCTGAAGGAGCAAGATATAGCTCTGAAACGTCGAGTAAAGAATAAAAAGAAGTTGTTATCCATAAAAAACGTTTCATGTATTCAATCCTGAAGGAGCAAGATATAGCTCTGAAACGTCGAGTAAAGAATAAAAAGAAGTTGTTATCCATAAAAACGTTTCATGTATTCAATCCTGAAGGAGCAAGATTTAGCTCTGAAACGTCGAGTAAAGAATAAAAAGAAGTTGTTATCCATAAAAACGTGTCATGTATTCAATCCTGAAGGAGCAAGATATAGCTCTGAAACGTCGAGTAAAGAATAAAAAGAAGTTGTTATCCATAAAAACGTGTCATGTATTCAATCCTGAAGGAGCAAGATATAGCTCTGAAACGTCGAGTAAAGAATAAAAGAAGTTGTTATCAATAAAAACGTGTATTCATGTATTCAATCCTGAAGGAGCAAGATATAGCTCTGAAACGTCGAGTAAAGAATAAAAAGAAGTTGTTATCCATAAAAACGTTTCATATATTCAATCCTGAAGGAGCAAGATATAGCTCTGAAACGTCGAGTAAAGAATAAAAAGAAGTTGTTATCCATAAAAACGTTTCATGTATTCAATCCTGAAGAATGAGCAAGATTTAGCTCTGAAAGTCGTGTAAAGAATAAAAAGAAATTGTTATCCATAAAAAACGTGTCAATGCTTCAATACTGACGGGATCTGGCGGCCAGGCTCGTTGACCTTAGTTAACATCGCATTCCAGTTGTCCAGATCGATGATCATGATGTTAATCACTGGATGGTCTGGTACAGATTTGATTATTTACAAAGCGACATCATACAGCTGAAGTATGCTGAGTGTGGCGTCAAACAACGCACGAATATACAAATCTCGCGATAAACCTACAGCTACAGTTGGTTTGACTTCATTTGAGACCGATGAATTGCTCACTAACACAAAATCAAATAATTGCAACAAAAACAAATTTTGCACTGTCTCATGAAATTGATAAGACCAACTCTGATGATTTGTCTCATAATTTTGGACACCCGAATAAATTTTTTGTTTAAACGATCATTATTTTGTTGCCATTTTTCGCTATTTCTTACGAGGGGTACCACTTACTAGTAGAAATCTCTGGGCTCCCTTTATATATTTTTTCTGTAAATATGTTCATTACAGAGACTAGATGGTTGTCTACAAAGAACCCTTCTCCGCGATTAGTGAACGCTACCTCGATGTTTCAGTGCTTTATATGTTTCACCTTCCATTGGTGACATTCTGAGCCACGTTTGAATGGAAGCACAATGGTATTTATTTGAAGTGTTGTGCAGTTAATGTACGAACTGTATATGCGCATGTACTACACAGTGTAGTATTGGTGTAAGGAGTTTATGTTGGTGTAAGGAGCTCATCTTTGTTGCCCACTTGAATGTACTCTATGGTGAGGTATTGCTGTATTTGTTAAGCTCGTGTGCAGTGTGGGTATATTCCTGTAAGAAGTTTACAGGTATTGTCAATAGACTATCGACATGTATTGTTGCAACGAGCTTCTCAAGTTTCCCAAGTGAGTGAGTGGGTTTGCTTTCACGGCGCTTTTAGCAATATTCAAGCAATATCATGGCGGGAACACCAGAAATGGGCTTCACACATTGTACCCATGTGGGGAATCGAACCCGGGTCTTCGACGTGACGAGCGAACGCTTTAACCACTGGGCTACCCCACCAACCTAAATTCCCAATAAGCTGGTTAAGAGAAACCCACGAGCACGGGTATTGCCATGACAACCTGGAACCATTATCAGAGCGAATCAGGATTCGAACTAAAAATCTCCGATTTCTGTCGTTCCCAAGGGACACAACTCTGCACAAAGGTTCAAACAACCGGACTCCCAGCGTCCGCCTTCGTATAGAAAGAGTGAGCTATAGGAACGTTGAAGAGGGTAAAATCAGTGGAAGGACATTTTGACAATTACAGAATGATATCATATCAACCATAAAGATAACTTAAATTTAGTATTCCCAATCCAAGTAGAAATTCCAATTTATTCTCACAAACAAACCAAGTCAGCACAGAGTGAATATGGTTTTAGGCCGCTTTTAACAATATAGCAACATCAGAACATCGGTGGGGCACACCAGAAATGGGCTTCACATATTGTACCCATTTGGGGAATCGAAACAGTGTCTTCAGCGTGATGAGCCGACACTTTTACCACTAAGCTACTCGATATGGCTGAAATATTGCCGATGTGACGTTAAATATTAACTCACTCACTCACTCACTAAGCTACTCCACCGCAGCATTAGTGTCTGTGAGGACGCGTACTTCTGGACTAGATGTCATAGTAGCTTGTTATAGGAGGCTACCATTACCAAGCCCGTTTGTTTAAACGGAGATAGCATTGCAATCTTAGTTGATTAAATTTTCTTCTGTCCAGTTTTTAAATTTCCCTGGTACATTTCTAAATCACCAAATTCATTTTTTTTCTGTGGCCAACGCCAACATGCTCATCTTCTTCGCAGCAACGTAATATTTGATGCGTAAGCTATCAAAAAACAATAAGTCAAATTCCACGCAGGCGTTCCCTTCGCCGGGGCCAGAAAATGTGCAAGTGCATTGACTTCAGGTGCACCACTGCACATCACTACCTTCTCAATAAGCAATTAGTGCGCGTTCGTTCAATAAACAGCCAGTAATTGTTTGATTGTTGAAGAGTGATTTATCACTTCGATACACGAGATGATGTCTGTGCTGTTGTTATGTAACACTACCACGGCGATGTCAAGTACCGCCGCTCATGCCGATGTTGATACGGGCATTTATATTGCTGAGCCACTCAAGTACCGTATTTTCTATAATAAGCGTTCAGACGCTTGCATTTGTTAAATGGTTCTAGGACCCATTAGTAAAGAGCGTCCATGGGTTAACAGTGAACCAGCGGGTGTTTTTCACGTTTTATGGTGCTAGATACACTTGTTTTTGCTATCATGTTGTTTGCATCATATACCAAAGGGAAGTATTTAATACTTGTTGTATTACACTTTCTAAGTAAAGTACAGCTAATACTCTTTTTTTATTGAGTCCCATTTGGAATTCGAATCCCGAACATAATAGACGTTACATCTGACCACTTTCTGGGAGACACTGTGGATATAGTTAAGCATAGGCGGATCCAGAGGGGTGGGGGTGCAGGGGTGCGCAACCCCTTTTGTCCTGAAAGTTTATTAAATGACCATTGAAACTCTCGTGAAAATGAAGTGTGCACCCCTCCTTTCTCAATAGTGTGCACCCCCTTTCTCAAAAGCTGTCTCCGCCCCAGTTAAGTCTCACATACCCTGCGCTAATTCAATGTCTAGCGCCAGGGTTCCGTTATACAAAGCAATCATTGAACAGAAACAGCATATTTAACTCCTTTCAGAGAACGACAGTGTTTGCGCTAAAATAGCTCTGTGCATAATTTCCAGGCGCTGATTAGAGTCCGTTGGTTTGGTTAGAGCAGGGAGACTCTATAAGGGGAGTGGTCACTCCTCGAAAGCTCCTAAGCTATGCCTCGGCTCGTCACGTGACCAGTGCAGCCAATATGGCGGCAGCGTAGTTTTAAGATTGAGCCCGGTTTATTTTCAACAGCTGATTACATACGCTGAGTGTTGTGACAACTGAAAACCTACATGTAGAAGATAAGTTCCCTATTCTGTCACTTCATTTTAAGTCAAATACTTGTTATTAGTGTCAGTATAAGTACAGTAGCTTTGTAGTAAAGTTTCAAGTGGGCATGTTGTAGCTCACTGGCTTCAATTCTCAGTACACAGCGAAGAAAGACTAACTTATATCGCTAAAAACTTCTTTCACATATTCGTTTAATTTTTAGAGGGAAATATACCTTTTGTTAAAAGGTGTTTGCAAGTAATAGTGATATTTTTATAACTAAAAAAATTTGTTAGGGTGTATTTGAGGTGTGTGAAAATATGACATATCGCCGATCTGCCATTGAAATACTACAGGGTGTTGTTTGAGTGTTTCTAGTTAGTGTTCAAAACATCTTTCACATACACCTTCAATTTTTTATGAGGGGAATATACCATCAGGTGAAAGGTGTTTGCAAGTAATAGTGATAGTTTTATAATTTAAAAATTGTTAGTGTGTATTTGAGGTGTGTAAAAATATGACATATCGCCGATCTGCCATTGAAATACTACAGGGCGTTGTTTGAGTGTTTCTAGTTAGTGTTCAAAACATCTTTCACATACACCTTCAATTTTTATGAGGGAATATACCATCAGGTGAAAGGTGTTTGCAAAGTAATAGTAATAGTTTTATAATTTAAAAAAAAATGTTAGTGTGTATTTGAGGTGTGTGAAAAATATGACATATCGCCGATCTGCCATTGAAATACTACAGGGCGTTGTTTGAGTGTTTCTAGTTAGTGTTCAAAAACATCTTTCACATACACCTTCAATTTTTATGAGGGGAATATACCATCAGGTGAAAGTTTTTTGCAAGTAATAGTGATAGTTTTATTTATTTTTTTGTTAGTGTGTATTTGAGGTGTGTGAAAAATATGACATATCGCCGATCTGTTCTGATACGCCATTGGTGCTTGTGATGCTTGAGTGTTATAGTTCTAAAACTTCTTTCTTTCTTGTTGATCTTAGTATTTGACAAAACTGGAAAGGTGTTTGCAAGGCTTTGTGATAGTTCTAAACTTTCTGTTCTTGAGGGGTCTGTGACAGTGTCAGTTAACATTCTGTCAATGCCCATGTCATTCCACACATGCAATAAGATATCTGAATTAGTTACTAATGTAAAAAAATATCTCAAAGTAGATTTTTTTTATAAAAGGACAGCTGATGTTAACATGTGTTCTACCGATAGTTTTGCGTTCTTTAACATGTTTGGGGAGGGATGGCCGTGGTGTATCATTTATCCTTTCATTCATTCACATATGTTCTTTTTCTTTTGTTCTTTTTCTTAATTTCTTTCATTCATTCACATAAAATTCTTGCTCTTAATTCATTCATTCATTCATTGTAAAATTCCGACCTATACAATACACTGGCTGAAGTACTGTTAAACGCAGCCGAAGTTGCGCTAAGGACCGAACCAAGTCACTGTGTGCGTTGGACCATGACGAGGCACACGTTAATCAGTACAAATGGTAAAGAAAGCAAGCGAGTGACCTATCCCTGTTGTAGAGTATCCCCTGGTTAGAGCAAGGTTGAAGGTGTGTCTGTTTTATGTGGGAGGAAAGTCCGAAGTGATCTTTGACGTTTTCTCATTTGATTCATCACACGAGCACGGATATGGTGTTAACGAAACAATAACAAATATTTAATCCGCTCTAAACTGAGATTCCAACTCGCGACGTTTATCACACGTCTAAGGGACGCAACTCGTCACGGCAAATGTCGGCGCTCTAGACAAATGGGGCATTCATTGGATGAAATACAGTACTATTTAAAGGGAAAATCTGTTCATTCTTTCTCTGACAATTTACGGTTTAGGTCTAGACCCTGATTGTTATGCTCGGTGTGAAACTGAGCTAGTAGGGTGTCTTGGTACTCATTACCCGTCTATTCAATATAAATGATGAATGTTGAGCTTGCAGGCAACGTTGGCTTTAGATTAGCTGATTATCGGGTTTAAGTTATAATGTTCCTTTTACCTCTGAAATGCATCCTTACGGATATCAGATACTGGGGCTTTCTATCGCCTCCTATCTAGTCTCTTTTTAAAGTAGATGCTTGCATATATATTGTTGATTAAATTATTTTAGAAACACACTAAAAACAAAATGCAAGAAACCATTTTAACTTGGTACTGGGCTATTGGGTAATACAGTCTGTGTGATGGAGATTTGTTACGCTGGATTATCGATGACTGTGTTGAACTTCATATCGATATTTTGACATTTTAAGTGATTTTCGGAACAAAGAACAACAAGGAAGTTATTCACACAAGGGGGCTAACAAAAACAAAATATCTTTCGTCTTCGTCATGGACATCGTGCAAATATATTTTTATTAAATCACCCAAAACGTAATATTTCATTTCATACAACAAATGTTTAAAGATCAGAATCATTGTGTGAATTTGACATAATGGAACAAAGACGAATCCATGCGGTCTGGTTATTGACCGATTGCCTGTCACTCATATCGATTTTCCTTTTATCTCTGTGGCGACTCCGGATCCGCATCAATGTCCATTCCACATTTCATATTACCCCAACTACCTGTGTTATTCTGTTATTGATGTCCAACCTTCAAATATGAGACTGTTTTTATAAGTTTCAAAGCATCTGTTGACGTTTAGATGAAGAATGATTTGTGACCCTTATGTGTGGATCAGTTCCTAGGATTCTGACAAGACGTAAAACCTATTTTACGAAGTAAATGTCATCAAGCGGCGACGCTAAAGCAGGTGAGTGGTTGTCGCTTGTTTCGAGTGATCTATTTCATCGTTACACATGTCATCGCGTGGGCTGTGTTTGTGTGAGTTTGAGTGAAAAATATTATTTATTGCATCCACCCCATACAGCTTGCCAATTCAGTGGATACATGTGATGTTGTTGGGTTTTTTTGTATCTTGATTAACAGTATTTACATCTGCATTGTCATTCTGACTACACATGTCAATACAGACAAGGTAACTCATAGGTGTTCGATTTATTGGTATGTTTCTTTATATGGTGTGTGTGTGTGTGTGTGTGTGTGTGTGTGTGTGTTCACATACATACGTATATGCCTATATACGCAATTCACAAGTACAAATCTGATTGGACAGTTTAACTTCACAGATAGTGGAGTTTCATGTTACTACAGAGCCTTGGACTGTGAAAAAATCGGTGCATGTCATGGGTTAAAATAGTCCAGCATATAGGTTACTTTGCACTGGCTGGAATACAAGATATCGTGTTTGGCCAATTCAACCAGTTCAGAGTTTTTGAGCATAGAGACTTGTTCCATAGAAGTTTGTGATGATGATTTGTATGGAGAAGCATGTACAATGTGAATGGCACCCCTAAAGTGTATGTACAAAGTAAGTGCCTACCCCAGCTCCTCCCCCACCAATGATGCATATATGTTCAAAATCAATCCCTCCTGTAACTTTTAAGCATACACTTTTGTTATTTTTGTGTACAAAATTGCTGACCCCCTAAGTACATGTGTACAAAATGGATGACACACCCTCCCCTACCTTCCAGAACAAAATGGTTGAACAAATGCAGGGCAGTGGGGTAGCCTAGTGGTTATAGCCTTCTTATCATTCTGATATCCTGGGTTTGATTCTCCACCTTGGTACTATGTGTGAAGACCATTTCTGGTTTCCCCTGACATGTTGTTGAAATATTGCTCAAAACAGCAAAACAGCATACTCAAGTCACATGGTGCTCCAATATTTAGAGCATTTTATAGAACCATATTTTTTTCAAGTTTTGTAATATAAATCTCATAGTGTATACTTTGGGTTCAGATGTACCATATGAAATAGGGAAGTAATGTATTGGAATACATATGGGATATATGTACATGTAACAGTTCACTTTCACTTGAAATCAGTTACTTTTACATGATATCTACTGTGATACAATGCACTGAACCCTGAGCAAAAATTGACTGCCCAATCCAGACGAAGACTTGTCATCTTTTTCAGCAATCAAAAGTCAGCTTTCATAAACAACTCGGTTCCATTTCTTTACTATCTGGGATCCAAAAATTTCAATGTTAGCAGAAGAAGACACGTAAAACCCAATTTCAGAGCACCTCACCTTACTATTAGCAGAAGAAGACACAGTGAGAGCACCCGTTTGGGTGAACAGGATCGTAACATGTCCATATAAATATAATAGTGTGGCATCATGATTTTACCATCATTTTTGAAAAACAAGAATTTGATATGTTGGTTGGAATGCTTCACACACTCATACTGAGAATAAAGAAGTTATACGCTGATATGTTTTATGCAGCCAGTGTGCTGTGTCACACTTGATAATAACGACGAATGACAAAGTATTGTGGACTATGCCAATGTATGAAATAAGCCAAAACCCCAGCCAGACATCAGGGCTGGTAACTTCAAAATGTTACCAGTCCAAAATGGATTTAACCAGACCAGACACCAAGATATGACTCAGATGTATATATAACATCTTAATTTTTTACCAGATCATCGGGCTGGCTAACTGTACATCTAGACCGTCCGTCTGAAATCTAACCCATCTCGGGCGGTCGGACGAGCCTTATTTCATACACTGGCTATGCTTGTCTTTTTACTATTTACTCCTTGACCTAAGGGGCATAACACCTTATAAATGCACATGTTGAGATACCTCAAGCCTCAACAATACCTCAAGAAAATCAACATTGAATGGGACTGATACTTGAAGTTGATGTGACCGCCTCCGCGTGGTGTAAGCGAGAGCGGAAGGTCGAAGTTCGAACAGCCATACCAAAAGACGTTAAAATATGGTACTTGTTGGTCCCTGCCTGGCCGCATTAATGGGTACAACAAGGACTGATCGGCTCGGAGTCAGTATAATGTGTCTGAGTGGGGTATTCATGCTTCACTGCGGCATGGTATCTCTGTGGGCTAGCACTATAAAACCAGCTTAAGTCTGGGCTAGTACAAGCAGCCGCACATACACACACACACGCATGCACGTCGTCATATGAGCGAAATATTCTCAAGCACGACGTTAAATCCAATTTCACCTCACCTCTGAAGTTGATGTTGATTTTTACCTGAAATGTCTGCTATATGTCACTTGTAATTTACAATTTTGATTAGTTCTAAAATTTACATAATGATTAAGAAGCTGCACTTTCTCCACCCATTGGAACTTACAGTGTGATCTATTTTGTCCATGTAATGTATTGTAAATATAGGTGACTTAAGTGCTTAAATATTCGTAAGAAATCTCTGCTATTAACAGAGTTGATTGTACATTTCCAGCAAAATCATGTGTAAAACATGTGTGGTTGGTGGAACTCATCACAAACTCATCCATAGGCAAGTCAATCAGTCACCTGAAAAGAAATGGAAGATATGGTAAATTCCAAATAAGGAACTGAACCTGACATCCATTTATCACTGATCAGGACACTGTTTTGAATGGACTTCTGTGGGAGAAATTCTTCATATTATCAAGTACTGTCTAGCTGTGTCCGGAAAAGGGAAGATAATCCTTCTCCACTTTCATCATTAATGTTATGACAGCTAGAATAGCTGATGGATCAGCTTCCCAAGGATTTGGCTAATAATAGTCTTTGATGAAGAAGTCAATTTAACTGCTTCCACCGTGGGTATGTGTAGCTTCCCTCCTGCCTGTTTACTCAGCAGACAAGAATAGAGAGCAAGATAGGTACTATTTTGGTGAGCTTTACCTTACTGGACATGCAAGGTTGGTGAGTGGGATGATAACGTTGCACATGGCTCGGCTGTTTGTTAAGATATATCTCCAGGCCTCTGCCAAGCATTGCGCTTGTTTGGTCCCAGAAATGCAGTTATTTAAAAATATGTTGTACAGAATAAAAAGTGTGGCCCAGGACAAAGCTTAAATACAGAGCTGAGGCAATCTAGACTTGAATTAGATTCATTTTTAACTTTATTCTTTGTTTAGTGTCTGTGAGACAGACTTTGATGGCTAAACCTTGACAGAGTGATATGACAGGTGAAGGGTTGGGATTGTTTTAAGAACAATGACCTGGACTGGACTAGTTTGCCAAAATAATTCTTATATTTATTTCGATATTTACGCTAGATTTATGAGTGTTCTCTACCTTCATCAAACACGGCACTCATGGCCCAATTTACTCACACATTTGCCTCTACCAAATCTCTATTTACTAGTAAGTTGTCTTATTACAAGTTTGTGGAGCTCTAGGGAGCCTCATACAGCTTGGTCAAGGCAGTGGTATAAATCCATACTGAAACTAGTTTTGTGCATGTGGCTATCATATTGTTCAACATGCAGCAGTGAACCACATTTAATTGTTTAGTTGTTGTTTATTTGCTTTTGTCCTCCAAACAAAGTGTATACCAATTCTCTATAGCTCAGACTTCAGAAGCATCGGCATGCTGTAGGAACTATGTGTGGAAGGATCGGTGATAAAGGGGTCACAATGAATCTCATCTCAAAACTAAGATGTTGGATGTCTACCAACTACCTAAAGTTGAACAATGACAAGACAGAACTTTTGATCCTGAGGCCAAGGTCTCTATCAGGGAAAATGGATTTCCCAACCTTAAAGATAGAAGACAGCACAATATCACCAAGTGATCAAGCTCGAAACCTCGGAGTTATCTTTGACCCCTCCCTGAGTATGGATCGGCATGCAGACACTGTCTGTAAATCCGCCTTTTTCCATCTGAGAAACATCAGCCAAATCAAGCACTTCATTGACAGATCAGCTATCCAGTCATTAGTCCAAGCACTGGTTATCTCACGATTGGACTATTGCAACTCCCTGATGTTTGGCATATCGCAGCAAACTCTCAACAAACTCACCAGAGTACAAAATGCAGCAGCAAGACTCATCACTGGTGCAGGCAAATATGAACACATAACGCCAACATTACGTACACTGCATTGGCTGCCAATCAGACAAAGAATTGTCTTCAAGGTGTTGGTGTTTGTACACAAGGCCCTTCACAACCAAGCTCCAGAATACCTGACTGAACTAGTGTCATGGTATCAGCCATCACGAACCCTGAGATCAGCCTCTTTAAAACAAGCAGTAGTGCCCTCTACCCGCAGAACGAGTTATGGCGATAGAGCTTTCGCCAAAGCAGGTCCTCTGTTATGGAACCAACTACCTGAAAACTTGAAAACTTGTCAGACATAATTCCATTCAAAAAAGAACTAAAAACAGTTCTTTTCCACAGAGCATTCGACCAAGAGCCTTAGAGCAAACCTTGGCTTCAGGCGCCATACAAATTTTTTAACATTATAAATCGGAAAAACAGACAGATTAATACAGTTTTTATGAAGTTAAATGTAAAAAATGAATGATTTGATAAATAGAGGTAATCATATTATGAGGTAGTAGAGATTATAATGTTCGATTTATTGTTTGATATAACCATGATACATACATCAGCTTGTTGAGACTTGAAATGGAAATCCAGCGAAATGCAATCTGGTTCCCATTTACCCATTTTCTGCGTGATTAGCCTCAGGAACGTCTACATCGACACAAAGAGTATTACTCTACATCAATGATTCGTTAATCAAGACATTTGTTAATTACGATATCACTGGCAATGGAACTTTCCAGACTAACGACCAGTGTTTCCTGCTACTGGTCGCAGAAAGTGCTGTAATCGTGTCACAGCTATCGGTAAGTAGATATGTAATATAGGTTTCAATACATCCGTCAACAATACCGACTGCAAAAATATCACTTATTTGGCATTGCTGC